TATGATGCATAGAAGCCAGTTGGCACGTGGGCAGCTGATGCAACATTTTAGTTATTTGTATTGCTGGGAAGGACAAATCCATGAGTGCCTGATAATCAAATATTTGAAGTTGCCTTTTTGTAATGTGGGGTATGATTTCTTGTTGCACTGAAGTATGTATTGCTATGAAATCAGATATGATCAATTTCGATAATTGATTTGTTTGACCAGAAACTTACTCAATCATGTTCTAAGTCTCAGCATATCAACCAGCTGCTTCTGAGTTTTCATTTCTAGGCTTGCTTTCCCCCATAATCATGTCCTCATACAAGGGCAAAGAAAAAGCCAAGGTTCATCAGCCTTTCCTCCCTCTTGTGTTTTGTTTATGGACATGAAGCAGCAATCTCAATACTCCAATGCAGCCGCCGACTTTAACCATCAATTTGGACTGGACTTGGGCTTCAATGCCACCTCGATCTCTGTTGATCCATTGTTTGGCATTGATGTCCCATATATGCAACCCTACCACAACAGTACTACAGCTCCCAACCTCCGCTTCACTCAGGCTGCTCCCAACTCCAACATTTTTGCTCCCAACTCCTTCAACTTGCCCAACCTGTACTTTACTTGTCCCCACCCATCCTTTACTTCTCCCACCCCCAACCCTGACTTCAATCCATCCAACACCAGCAACTTCACGCCACCCAACTTTACTCCACTCAACTGCCAGTGACTTCCCCTCCTCCCAACGCCAATTTTTCTGCGCATTACCCTGACTTTGCTATGCCTAACCCCAACTTTACTCTACCCAACCCCGACTTTCCTCTACCCAACCCAAACTATGCTCTACCCAACCCTGACTCTCTACCCAACCTCAATTTCACTGGCCCCAACATTGCTGCCCCTCGTCCTCATCTTCCTCCCAACACCACAGACCTTGAACACATGGTGGAATTGTTCTGAGCAGCTGCCATTTTGGAGACATTGAACAACCGAAGCACACGCATCAACCCACAGCCAGCCATACAGTCGGATGGTGCATCCAAAGGCCATCACCCATTCCACAAGCTTGGCAAGTCGGGTTTGAGAGCGAAGCTGTGAGAGTAAGCTTTGATCTCGACAATGTTGCAAACTTACTAATGTCCACTGGTCAGGGTACATCGCATACGTCAAGGGTCCAGAGACCCCGAGTCAATGCAAACGTATGGAACTCTTTTTGCTCAACTGCTGGGCCTTCGATCACCATGCCTTCGACTGCTGCAGGGCCTTCAACGCTTCCTGATGACGACTCCAAGTCCGAGTCCGAGTCCGAGATACCTCTCAACACTACCACCTCCAAGAAGATACAACTCTTGAAGAAGGTGATTTCCAATCAAGCATGCAAAACCCTAAAGTTAGCACTATTCAACAAAAACATGATGTTGTGCAGGGCGCCACTAGCGTCTGAGGTACATGACGCCCTCGTCAGCTCCATGATAGAGCAGATCAGCCACAAAGGTATGTGCTTGCTTCTTTTGTGAACAAAAGCCTCATATTTCCCTAGCCCTCGCAACAGATTGGATATTGAAGAACAGCCACGGCATATTAAAAAGTCTCAAGACAGTTCCCATGAACCTCTGCAATGAGATAAAATGCTTAGTGCGGGCAATTGTCCTAGGCTCGTGGGGTCTTTTGCCTGCAATCAAGGAACAGGTCAAAGACGTTGCAGCCTACCAATACTCTCTCATCAAGGTCCTCATTCAAACCTATCATCACATAGACTCCAACATGACGGTACATGTTTTTTTGACTACCAATGCTAAGCAAGCTAACAACTGCTCAGCTCTTCAGACATCCGGCCATTATACAAATGACTCAAGCAATCATCAGACACTTTCACAATTACATTCTGTTAAGACTGTGCTCAGGGGTAGGACAGAGTCTGAGGGGCTTAGCTTCAGCTCATGCGCTGCACCCCTTACCTGAGTACATGCCCCTAATTTTGGATTGTAGTCCAACTCGAGTTCTACGAGCTCCGACAGGACGTTGGACCGACGGACTACTAGATAAGCATGGGAACGTCGGGTGGAGATTGGTCCGCCCTACAGGGGAGAGTCGGAGGGCTACTGCAGTTGGAGCTAACAGTAAGAGCGGAGCAGAGGAGACTGCTCAGACGAAGTCCAAAGCAGAATGGGAACACAGAGGACAGAGATATGAGAGTACTAGTCACAAGTCCGACACATGGGAAAGGCGGTGGAGGCGCGGGAAGTCGGATGAGCGGAGGAGGCAGCCGACCTAGGGAGTCAATCCCCTAGGCCAGCAAGCAGGAGTTGTCAAGGGGTTTGCCCAAGAGCAAGGGCAAGAGAGCAGGGCTTAGAAAAGGTAATATTCAGACTGAAGATCTACAGATAATTGTACATATGTTTATATACTCTAAGTGGGTAGTATAGCATAGCAAAAGGCTATGTGCTGAGTGCACAGAATTATTAGAAAGATGACTGAGACATACAAGAAAAGGGGCTCTGTTAAGGTTGTGCTCAAGGGAGAGGTTGCTCAAAGGGCTTTGGCTTCAGCTTGTGCACTGCACCCCTTACCCGAGTATGTGCCCTTTAATTTCCGGGGGACAGAGGGGAAGTCCGACAGAAGTCTGGGGAGTTCCGGAGGACTAGTGTCGGTGGAGTTCGGCGGAACTCCGGAAGGCTTTATGTGGGGATGGAGTAAGGCTACTATGGAAGTCTGGAGTAGAAACAGAACAGAGGTTAGACTACCCTAAGGTAGAGCCAGAGAGTTAGTCCTAAGGTTTAACCCCTAAGACTCGGAGGTGGACAAGAGATGAGACTCAAGTCTGGAGATTGCAGGAATGAGCAGAACTAAGATGATATTCGAACTGAGGAGTTCTGGAGTATTACAGGGGTTTATATACTGTAGGTATCATGTATGTAAATCAGACAGCAAAGGTAAGGGCTATGTACGAAGCATGTGGAAAGTCTATTACTAAGTATAACGGATCAAAGCAGTGAAGTCGGAAATGAAGTAAGAATGGACAGATCAGTAAGCATAGCGGAATAGGACATAACCGGTAACCAGAGCAATAGCTAATCTAAAAGGAGTGAGTGTGGAGATGAAGGCGGAGCACTGGGTGGAATAGTAAGACAGAGGACCGGACTTTAATGAAGTAGATCCGGAATTCCGGATCTGGAGGTATGGGATATGACAGGCTCAGAGAATAGTATGTATGCGACAGATCAATAATCACTCGGGTATAGAGATTACCAGTGATCTGAAAGGAGGAACTATGATACTAAAAGGAGATAGGACCAGTTGAATGGTTCCTAGTCTAGGGGTGGACCAGTGAGGCGGTCGGGCGGACCAATCATCGGATGGAATGACACGAGAGGAACTGAAGGAACTGAATGGGTCGGAAAAGCGGAGATGGTGGAGGGAGTAGGATCGGTTGGACCAATGGAGCGGAGAAGTGGAGCTCCAGATAGGGTCGGAGGGTAGGGATATGGTGTTGGAGGAAATAGAGGTAGTGTTGGAGGAGCAGAGCGGAGTCGGGCGGAGGTAGCAGGGCTAGTCCTGCTGAGATGCACTTCGTGCATTGTCGGAGAAGGAGGGGTGGAGTGGACAGGGAAACAGGGGGTCGGACCAATAGTAGGGATGTCTATGAATGGTGTTGGGAGTGGCTGAATCGTGTATATGACACATTCCCACAGACCACGCGGAGATCATCATCAACAATATTGTCGCATTTGCAGTGACTATGCTTCATTTTGCATTGGGAGAATTTTCAAACGGGACCTACAGCCCATCCGAGTTTCTCGTCAAGGATGAGGAAGAAACTTACAACACAGTCCTCCAGCGCATTGAGCGACTCAATGGTACTGACTTAGAATTTTACTTAATCATGGTTCAACACATCTTCAAGCTTCTTTAGACTCACGTAGTACTACTCTTCCTCACCTCTATCACAGTCATACTGCTTTGCCTGTATAGCTATAAAATGATATTGCACAGAAATAAGCTAGTTGGTCGTAAAATTTATGTTTCAGTGGTGTCATGGGCTGACTCATGTTGAGTTGTTGCCTTTAGCTGTACGCATCACATTGGCCTGTACTTTCTATTGAATCCAATTTAAATCTAATCTCCCTCAACTGCAACTACTGACTTCCAGTATCGGCTGGAACTACAGTTCAGCAGAAATGGCTACAGCGGAACACTTGGTTCACTCCTGGATGGCATCTGAGAGAAGGACTCTGAGATTGACGAGACTGTTGCTGGTACGCCTTTCATTCCAAAGCGATGATATCAACTCTCACTGAACACATTCTTCAGGAATATTGAGTGGATGGTTAACGTTGTTAGACACTATAAGTGCTCTCGATGAATTCTTGACATCAGAGGAGGATCGCTTACAGATGAAAGGTGAACCTGTCAGTCACTTGCTAGTGTTCTGCCCCTCAATCCTTGCAGGTGTTGAGTTCCTCTCGTCTGTTCTGGGACAATGTCCACATGAAAGGCTCAATCACCAGGCTAGTAAGTAAAAGTGGCATCTCAAGGATGAAATATACTCAATATCCTTACTAGTCTGCATGCTCACTACATTTTGTTGCAGCAAACTCGAAGATATTGAGACCATCATCCCTGCACTCAAAGGTCTCTCTTACCTTGTCAAGTTTCCTAATATTGACAGTTGGCTGAGGTGAAAGATATTATCAACGCGTACGTACTTTAACCCTGGCACATCTCCATTGCTTTGAACAGCACCCAGTATATTCGCCAACGTCAAAATGAGAGCCCTCAGTGTAGTCCACTCCCTTCTTCATCTTCTTGATTGTCGACTCTCTGATATCAAACCATCAAGACACCCTGAAGGAAATGGGAAGTACTTTCCTTGCTGGATACAGTTAACCTTGCAGTTGGGGAGAAAGACCCTCAAAATCTCATGTTGGCATTTGCCATTGCTCGAGTCATGCTTGTGGAATTCAATACTTATGCTCATACTGAGGATATGTTTCACTATGATGCCTTCTGCTCCATTTTCAATTGTTGCACACAGGATTTCTTTAACATAACATTCTGCTACTTTCCTATCACTTTCCGACCACCACCTGACGATCCCTATGGCATCAGTGTAGATGATCTGAAGCAATCTCTTCGGTACAATGAGATCTTAAATATCATGTCTTTAATCTGCTGATGTTACTGCAGACTTTGCTTGAGCTGCAACCCCAACCTTTCAGTCCACTTGGCATTCCAGTCTTTTTAGAAAAGCTCACTGCTGGATCACCTTCAACCAAGGTTACTTTTTGTCATCTCATGACATTCAAAAATCTAATATGCATGTGGCAGTGAGACACTCTACACAGTATATGTCCATCTGTCTCCTGGTCTATGGACCTCCCGTGTCATGTGAGTTTGGGAAGAAGGTGTGGAGCTCTCTGAAACTTGAAGTAAGATCCCAGTCCTTTCATTTTCGTGCATAGCTTTACCTGGGTTCAGATATTTTCGACTGACTGATCCAGATACCGAGCAATCAGCCCTTGATACAGTTCAAGTCCTTTTCAGAACCATTCATGCTGATAATTTCCAAGATGCAGTAGGTGAGGACTGCATAATGGGCCTTGCACAAGACATAGTGCAACAAGTGCATGCAAACATTGAAGGAGCCTGAGAAAGCCCAAGGAAGAGCTGTGATGAAGGTTATATGTGGTTTTGCAGGAGCTGATGGTAAGCATGATGATACTACATGGTGGCACAAGCTGGATCTCAACAGCTCTCTCATTGACCAGGACCACTTTCCAGTTTTTCAGTCTCAGCCAGCCACTGAGCTCCTCATCAGAAATTTCCATGACCCAGATGAAGTGTTGAACTGGGCATCGGTGGTCATGTTGCTCACAGAGTTAATCAACACCTCCCACAGGTGATACTACGCATGCATCCATTCCTCGGTCTTCCAACCCATCATCTTACCCACTCACTGCATCAAAGGACATCCTCCTTGGGCTCCTCATCATCAGTCTGAAAGCACCTGTGACGTGCCTACCAGCACTGCACGGTCTGACCACACTTGTGCACACTCCTAAATTAGTAGCTGATGATGAGCTTGGGTACATAGTCCTCAAAGTAAGCAAGCTTTTAAGCAAGGAGCCTGATGAAGTAGAAAACATAACATCTGAATGTTTTGCTCTCCATCCACAATGAACTACTAAGGCTCATGGTTTCAGCATGGACACCCTCGCCCTCCTCACTGTCATCACTGGTATCACACCACACCATCTATCATCACAGTCACTCCCAATACTTTTTCCTCCCTCCCAGATGTTACACCATCTAGAGATGCCACCGTGCATTTTACTGGCATGTCCTTTCAGCTCTCAGTACCCTTTGTGTGCAACCACAACTTTTTGAGATGCTGATGGTCAGGCTTATCACTAAACTTGACCTTCTCTGTGCAATTTCACCTACTTGGACGATTGAACAGGAGAGTACAGCTGCATATGCCCATGCTATTCTTACAGCACTCACAAATACACTCGACGCCAAAGTCTCTTTAAATGATGCAGATGTTCCCAAGTATGCTGACCAGCTATTGGCTGCAAATTCTCAATCTGTACTTGGAAGCTGCACTAGCAAGCTCAGAAGTGATGGCTGTTGCTGCAGATCCCAGGTTGCTGCAAGTTGGGGTGAGAATCATCAGACTTGTGAGTCAGACCTTCAATGTTGTGTGAGTCTTTGTCTTATCTCTGGGGCGAATGGCATTAATCGAGATGGCAGGTGGCAAGAAAAACTTATTGCAGCTGTGTTTGCTGCTTATACCCAAGGTGACGTGAAGCTGATCACTGACAGGCCTCTTAAACTTGGCAGCACCATTCGCACCTCTCCATGTGGGTACAGCGCCTCGCAGTCCCCTCATATGTGCAACACTGATTCTTGTTGTAGTTGAATGCCAGTCCCCAACAATGGAATGGTTTCACTCTTTTCTCTTCTACCATTGTCCCATTATGCAAGGAGGTATGTCGCATTTTAACGCTTACTGATGGTATTCCCCAGCTCATGCCTCTTCTACTACGCAGACTTGACCTCACTGACCCATCTATTCATTTGCACATTATTAACACACTGTCAAACAATATTGACATTACATCGACTGATAAGGACACTGTCTCTATGTATGCATTAACAAAGTCATCAGCATCTACTGCGTCGCACGTGTTACTGCCTCCAAGTAGCACTCAGAAGTTCTCTCGAGAACAGCAGTACAGGCCTTCATTTCCTCAATGACAGCATTATTCTGCTTGCTTCGTATCTCCTCACCATGCTTGATAACATCAAGGACTGATTTCCATTCAGTTCCCATTTTCTCACGACAGATGCACTTAGTAGTGGGAGCACCAGGTGGAGACATCTGCTTGGGCACACAATGTGGAGAGATATTCTCATTGGAGTCATTGTCAGAGTCAATATTGACATTATCAAGCTTCTGCTTGTGAGTGTTGTGAGTAGCTTGTGTTTGTATCACCTCCAAGCCACCTACTCAATCAGCTTTGGCTTTCTAATGGTATCTCATAAGTGCTGCAAAGTAATACAGAGGCTGAAAACACTCACCTTCCTTTCCGAGTCACTGTCCTTCTGTTCGTCATTCTGCATAGCAGCCGATCTCTGATTTTTGGAGATCCTGTCTAAAAGTGCTGCAAGGACAGGTGTTGGAAACTTCAAGCTCTGTCCAGACAGAAGCTGAAGCAATGGTGCAGGGAGGATAAAAGGGTCTATTGTGTACGACAAATCAGGTTCCCAGAATACAGAGACATCATCCCCAGTCCCAGATGTAGAGAATTCTAAAACTCAATCAGGTTCAACGTGGGCCATCATGTCATTGACCCAAGATGGCTGACTCAGAGTACTGTTTGCACGAGGATGTGTGTTATGAGACATGGTAGCAAGTTGCTAGTACGAGTGGAACTCGCTCTTATCATTGTGAGCCAGGTGACGAAGTAGAGTTGAGCACACATGCTGCACATCATATTCAATACGGAAAAGTTCGCTGTATACAGTGTGTCATGCGGGGAACAATGACTGACAGTTCGGTGACCTAACATAGGTCTAAAATGGCTTAGTGGCGAAAAATAAGGTTCTCAAAACTAACTCTTAGGCATCTGTTGACTCCAATGATTAAGGTTTGGTGTAAAATCAATGAGTCTTAGACTTAAGTCAATGAATTCCTAGCTTTTCTGGGTTCTTCTAGCCTGACTGGCTAAAAGGCAACACCCCACCTATAAACGATAAACAATGTTAATTGGTATTGGTTGACTACGCTACTGTAATGCACCCCCTATTAGAGGAATTGCAGTTGGTTACATAAATAGACCAGCTGCAATCCAAATGATATCAATACCACCACCAAAATAATGTGAGTTAACCAGTTTACTGTGACTGTCTTCAAAACTTACCAAAGTCTGCAGAGTCTCTCATATTTCAGCACCTAGGTGTAATGAACCTTGAATGTGTTTCTCTCCTTGGCTTCAATTTGGTCTGCCACTTGTCCAGCTCCTTTTAATGGTCACCATGTCCTTACACTGCAATGCAATGGGTTGTTCCTGGGCAAAAGAAACGGATCCTCATGGGCTTAGCCGGCATTGCGCTACAGTGCAGGCAATACCAGAAGGCAAGTGCATTAGCCACAGAGAAAAGGTGGGAACGGGCAAAAGAGTCGGTTCAATTATCACGAAAATTGATGACTAGTAGCATTACTGTAAGTAATCTACTCCACAGGTCACTCAAATTTAGACTCATGTATCCAATACAGCTGCTTCAGCCAGTCCGATTCACAAAGGATCGCTGTGCAAAACCCATAGCCCATTGTGAACCTAAGGCAAAGTTCACTGACAAGAGCAAGGCACCTATTAATGTTGTCAATGTGAGTAGTATCCGAGTCGGTGTGGTCACTGGTGCCTCAGCTTTTAGTGCATTACTGGACTCAGACATTGTGATGGCAGATGACACCGAAAGGTAACTATGACATTCCAGGTGTGCACCTTTTTGAATTTGTCTATTGTGATAATACTCATGGATGGCTACTAGTAGAATCACATCAACATCCTTCGTGACACACGTTTGTACCAAGGAGTTTTGACAACCTTCTGCCTGCCAATGAAGACATCAATCCCTCTAATTTTCCTGGGAATGATCTTTCTGTTAGTAGTACAATGGAGACTCAGAATCCACCACAGCATAGAATCCAAAGGGTTCTTTTGACACTATGACACACTCTCCAAACAACGTTTAACGTGATTGGGCTCTCTCAACTATATCCTTGGCACCCGTCAGTTGAGCCTGTCAAATTTGTCTCATCTTTGCTGTTAGCCAAATCATCTCCTATGACTACCAATGTGTGCGATGCCCAAGGGTCCGACCCACCTGCTGCAGTCACCGAACCTCCTCATCCCTTTCCCAACATGACCATCTATTGTCTCATGACGTGGATGAACTCCAGCAGCCACCAGAAGTCGCAGACTGAAGTGATGCATCTCATCATAGACGTGATTCAAGCTGAGGATTTCAATCCAAAGGACCTGGATGGGTTTTCTGTCAGAAGGTGCCTGTGGATGTTGGACAATGACAACAGCCAGGAGACTGTCAATTTTCCCAATGATTGGGTCGAGACAGGGGTCAACTTGGACATTCCTACAAAGTCCAAAGATGATCAGTCCATATCGTTTAGCATTCCAGGATTTCATTACCGGCCGCTTGTAGCAGTTATTTGCTCTGCATTTGCTGACGTTCAAGCCAACACCTTTCATCTGTTTCCTTTCAAGCGCTTGTGGAAGGATCCCCTGGATGGCCGTGAAGAGTGCATGTTCAATGAGCTCTACACCTCCAACTCCTGGCTAGAAGCTCAGGACGACTTGCAGAGGTGGCCCAAAGAACCTGGCTGCTCACTCGAACATGTCATTGTCGGGCTCATGTTCTTTTCTGAAGCAACTCACCTTGCAAACTTTGGAATGGCTAAGGCTTGGCCCCTGTACTTGTACTTCGGAAATTTGAGCAAGTACGCACGCTCAGCACCCAGCTCTGGCACATGTCACATTGTGGGATTTTTACCTTTGGTAAGTCCCTTCCCCCCACCACTGTGCAATGCTGTCGATGTCCAATTCTTTTTTTCAGCTTCCAGATAGAATAAAGGATGTTTTTAGCAGCCTGCCTTGCATGTCCAAGACCAGCATGGCAGCCCTTCACACACATTGTGGACGAGAGTTATTCAGACCTGTTGGAATGTTTTACTGGATGCTGACTTTCTACACACATACTGTCATGGAATTGTGCTCATGTGTCCGGATGGAAATTTGAGAAGAGTTTTTCCACGAATCTTCACTTATTCAGATTACCCAGAAAAGTGCACTCCTTTTCTTTTTTGCTTGAGATACTGATTGTCGTTTCAGGGTTCTAATAGCAACGATCAAAGACATGAGTGCTTGCCCATGCCCACACTGTCTCATTCTGAAAGCCTCGTTTGGTCTTTTGGCTTGTTAGAGACATGGAGATCTGCTAGGCAAGCTTAGAGCATACTCCCTTGCAAAGGTTACCATGGCCACACAAATTCATCTACATGCAGGGAAATATTGTCGACGGCTTGAAAGTACAGACTACCCTTGGGAAGGGTTGTGGGTGCCAACCATGGTGAGACCGCTTTGAATGAGTTAAACACCTGATTTCAAACGAATCATTTGCAGCAAGCTTGGCCACTTTTACACTTCTGCGCATGGTCTTTTCATTTGATGTGACTGGGCACGTGGAGTGCTTTTACACTCTTTTACATTTACTTTATGCACTTCCGGGGGGCAATAGTCTGGTTGCACGTCTCGACCAGAGGTTGGTTGTACTTTTTCCCTGTATGAAACTGACATTATTAAACTTAGATTTCATCAAGTTCCATCATATGGTAATGGTGTTATTCACAGATTTTCCAACAACACATCGGACATGAAAAGGCTTGCCGCATGCAACTTTGAAGACATTTTGCAAGTTTGTCCTTTTGCTTCTTCTGCTGATGTATGTCATTGATATCAATTCCAGTGCGCTATGCTGGTCTTCGAAGGGCTTTTCCCTGGAGACCATGATGTGATTGTACAATCACTTTTGTATAGGTTTGCACATTGGCACACCCTTGCAAAACTCCAGGTGCACTCTGAAACCACATTGTCAGCTCTGGATGACACTTTCAAGAGGCTCTCCCATCAGTTGCGCAGATTCCGTGATTTCATGTGTGCTGCTTTCACCATGACGGAGCTGCCGAAAGAAAAGGCTGCTCGCAAGCGCAAGGCAGTGTGTGAATTCTCAGGTCTCGACAATCCGGACGCTGGGAACAGTGGTTGAAAGGTTAAGAAATTTAATTTGAGTACTTATAAATTTCATGCCATAGGGGATTATTTGCGAACAATCTGGCTCTTTGGGACAACAGACTCCTTTACTACACAAATTGTAGGTGAACGTGTCATATTTTCTTCTCTTGATCTGATTTCAGACTAGGGAGAGTTGGCGCATAGAGTGCTGAAAGTGTTCTATCCTTTGACCAGCAAACTAGACACTCCGGCCCAACTTGCTAAACATGAGCACCATTGACGTGTCCTACGGCACATAGCAGAAACAGGAAAAAAATTCTACCCAGCAGGCTCCGATCAACTTGCCTGCAGGGTTCAAAGGTCATCATTATAATCTGAAACTTAGCTGCAACAACCCATTCCATATCTTTAAATTTCTTCAATAACACGATAATGACCCAGCTGTAGCAGTATGTGCTCGTGCTATCCTCTTCATTCATCTTACTCATAGTAACCTGTAGGTGTTTATACCAAGGCTTAAAGATCACATACTATATCAACTTTAGGGGTTAGACGTCAGCCATTGCAACCATATCTTCACAGAAGATGAGTGCAATATGGTCATCATTCCAGACAACAAGATATACTCTGTCCAAACAATGCAGGTACATTATGCACATTATAATGGTTTTGCTATATAATCCATCGACTAGGTACATTACACAACTTATGACCTTCGATGAGAGTATGACATTGTCAATCCTCAGATGCATTCTGACATCATGGTCCTTTCTGGTGAAACGAAACCCCAACATCCCTACTGGTATGCCCATGTTCTGGGCATATTTCATATGGATGTTTGCGTCAATGTTGAAGGTTCAATGAAAATGCACCAGATTGAAGTTCTCTATGTTAGATGGCTTGCCCCCTTAACTGGTCACCAGTCAGGGATGAATTACACTTGACTGCCAAAGGTTGCTTTCGTTGAAGAGGCTGACTGCGATGCATTCAAATTTCTCAATCCCAGCCAGGTCATCAGAAGCATGCATTTGATTCCGGCTTTTGCTTCTGGGTGGGGAACAAGCTCCCTTTGCTATGGAAGGTCATTCGCACGTCAAAGTGATGAATTAGATGACTGGGAGGTGTACTATGTCAGCATGTAAGTGCAACAACTTCCCATCTCATTTTCTTTTACTTAAGCTGCAGACCACTCAGATTCGCGGATCGAGACATGTTCATGTGTTACATGCACTGTGGAATTGGGCATCCCACCATCCTGCGGTGGATGACAAGAGACTGCACCAACACAGATTCAGCAGGTGGCTCAGACTCGGGGGATGACGGAAATGATGACTTGGGGAGCAATATTCAACACCACGGCAATGGTGACAATGAGGAGGGCGAAGGTGATGATGATGACAGTGAAGATGGGGAGGAACCCGAGGAGGAGCCTGAGGATGAGAATGAGGAAGACAAAGACAAAGACAAAGATGATGCTGACCATTGGTCTTTCTGAACAGTCCTCCTAACAGTTTTTTTGCTTTGTTCCTTGTCTGAATCATCACCATTGTATCTTGGGCCTGTGTTCTTTTGTTCTATAACTCACAGGCTGCCTGAAAACTGTGACATGGGCCAAACTGCACTGGCCCGGGAGGATGGCATCATGATATATCATATCTCAAGACCACTCCAACAACCTCGTATTCACGCAGAAAAATGACTTCGTTAGTGACTTTCTTATTCTCTCCATCTTGCATCACCATTGTATGTGTACATCATGATGTACACGCACCAATATGTAAAATATCACAACTACTTTGCAACTACTAAGTAATTTAGTACATGCTGTCTGAGTCAGTCTTCAGACCATTTGCCCTTCAAATTGCTCAAACAACTCAAACCCCGGAATTAGTACTTAACGCCTTCAATTGTGGAAAAAAAATATTGTTTATATATTGAGTATCTGCACGCACTGTGCACCTCGAGAAACCTGGGAAGGAATAAGTGATGACAACTGAGAATGATCAACATCATCGATGCTAGTGAGCTCCCATCAGGCCTTTGCTGGCTGCAACAGTGACTTGTCATGACTCTGTCATGAACAGCCAGGCCAATCCATATATGTTGTTTGGTGCTGAAGCTACTATTTGTTAGGTACCATGCTGGGCTCAAGAAGCGGAGGGGTCAGGGCTTGGCTTCAGCTCTTGTGCTGCGCCCTTAGCCGAGTATATGCCCCAAATTTGGAGTGGGTCCGACATTGTCCAATGGTAGGACAAGTAGACCACTTTGGTCCACTTGAGGGTCAGGAAGTAAACACTACTAGCGGCGGGCCAACTAGGAGCGGAGTGGAGAAGGCGGAGGATAGTGTGGAAGGTGGATAGGAGCAAAAGGGGTTTATTGATAGAGGTAGAGAAATAAGGGGGAAGACTTAGAGCATGGCTCTAAGTTGGAGCAGAAGGTCAGGAGGTGACAACAAGATGAAACTTGTGTCCAGAGGAGGCAAGGTCCTACTGAGAATTCTCACAAGTAGAGACTGCAAGAAGACAAGTAATATTAAGACTGAGGAAACTATCTAAGTACAGGATATGTTATATACTTCTAAGTGTGAGGCAGTGATTAGGAGACTTATGTTGTAAAGCTATGTACCAAGGATATAGTTTGTAAGTACTTACTACAGGTGAAGACATAAGTTGGAGCAGATATCAATATGTACATGTTGGATCAGTGATCGAGCGGTAAGAGGAGTTACCAGTGATCCAGAAGTAAGGGTCTATGTACCTGAAGGGGAAAGTATATGTCTAAAAGGGGAAAGAGGTTCCAGTTGAATGGAGACGTTATAGAAGGTGACCAGTTGGGCAGTTGAGCAGAAGCGTAGGAGCGGATGCAGACAATGATTGGACGGAGCAGAGGACGGATGGAGCGGAGGTGGTCAGAAAGCAGGGGTGATGCAGAATCGGGTGGAGCAGATATTGATATCGGAGCGGTCAGATCAGGTATATGACACTATTCTTTGGAAAGTCTCGGCTGACATTAAAATTGAAGGAATATGTGATGACAACTGAGAAAGATCAACATCGTCAATGCTAGTGAGCTCCCATCCCTTGCTGGCTGCAATGGGGGCTTGTCACAACTCTGTCATGAACAACCAGGCCAACCAATATCTATTGACTGGTGCTAAAGCTACTATTCTTCGGGGAAGTCTTGGATAACATAAGAATTAAAGCAATATTTGTGGCAACTGAGAACGATCAACAACACTGACGCTAGTGAGCTTCTATCCCTTACTGGCTACAAAGGCATGTTGTCACAATTTTGTTATGAACCACCAGGCCAATCTCTATTTGTTAACAAGCATTAAAGTCATTGTCCTGCAGAAAGTCTTGAATAATCTCTTAAACTTAAACATAAATCTTTGCAAGTGAGAATGCTCAACAACATGGACACCATTGTGCTTCCGTCCCTTACTGGCTACAAAGGCAGCTTGTCATGATTTTATTATGAACCAACAGGCCAATCTCTATTTGTTGACAAGCATTAAAGTCATTGTCCTGTGGAAAGTCTTGAATGATCACTTAATATTACACATAAATCTTTGCAAATGAAAATGCTCAACAACACAGACACCATTGTGCTCCTGTCCTTGCTGACTGTGAAGGCAGTTTGTCATGGCTTTGTTATGAACTCCTCCCACTAGTCTATAATGGTGGCCATCCATAGCTAAGTACAAACAAGTCAAATTTCTCATATCATACACAATCATATTTAGCAGGAGCAGAATTACGTCCTCCTACAGTTGCCATGGCTACAATTTCAAGGACTCATGCGTTTACTGATGTGGGCACTTATACCAAGAGGCTGGACATCGCGATGCGCAATGAGAGCCAGGCTCATGGGGACGCAGATCTTGACTTGCTCGCAGAAGTCATCATGTGTCTCCCAAATCTCACCATTGTATCAGTTGCTGTCACTCCATCTCAGTATCGCTCTTTATCCATGCCTGACACTGTAATGAATGCTCTTACCTATGTCGCCCCTAGTCTCAAAATCATCGACTGGGCCTCAGACTGCGTGCTGCCGTCCTGCTATGATTTGCAGAACTTACTCGCTGCAATGCAGCTGCTGCATATCATAAGCTGTCCCTACCATCTGACTGGCTGTGCAGATGCAATGGCTAACTGCACCCTCTCCTCTTGCATGATGATGGTGGTTCCATTGGGGCCTACATTCTCTTTAATCCAGTTACCTGCTTTTCGTGAACTGTCACTGCCTTACTCTTTCTCACATCCGGACGGGCTTAACATTCAATTTCTGAAGAAGCACGGGAGCAACTTGTGCTTAGCCCATTTGCATGGCACTGAATGTTTCATTCACACACATCTACTACTTGCAACGCACTGCCCGCATCTTCACTGCCTTACAATTACCTTGGATTCTTGGGAGTTGTTCAATATAGAGTCAATCAAACTGCTTCCTGTCAAGTACCTGGGTCTACGCTATCTTCAAGGCCAATTATCCAAAAGAAATTACACATTCATGTTTTCTGTTCTCACTCATCTTAAGGATGCAATGCCGACACTGCGCACCATTTGATTCACAGGCTCTTCAAATGTAAATGACTTGTTGAAGAATCATCACAAAACTCTCATTCACACCTTGGAGTTATTTGATGGGAGCAAGCTCCACCTGGAAGATCACGAGGGACGACTTTTGTCAGGTAGAGTTGGATTACGGATCCAAGGTGACATTCTTACTCATTCTGCCTTTTCAACAGATTGAGCTGTGCTGATAGATGTGACCTTGTGACATGCCTGGGCTATAAGTTTTTGCCTTCCATTTCACCAGTACCTGTGGTATTAATGTATCACTTGCTGGCAGTGTAACGAAAATGTGATACAATAATTGCTCGCAGCCATAGCTCCCAGTAATATATAAATCTGTTATATCTGCAGCCCCCTCCAGTTCCCTCCATCAAGCGCTATTAGCTGAGCATCTGAGATCTATTGTATGTGACTTAAGATCCATTGTATGTGACATGTCTGAGGTCTTGTTTTTGACACTCTGTGATCTGTGATCTTCACCCTTGCTTCTCCAGTGTTGCTTCTTTCCCCTCGTTAATATTAAAGCAACAATCAATTATGCATTTCTATCTATAACTGTGGGGGAGCATCAATAGTAGGAGCATCTATCTCTCTGCTCTCCGGAATAATGACACTACCAGAGACAAGGGCAGGCACGTCACACCACAACCATTGAAACTCGGCTACCAGCGACTCACGCAATGCAGACTGGCGACATGCATATGCTGTCAGTCCTTCTTGTGCAGGTGCCGAGTCGAGCATTTGGAGAGCTGTGTGCTCCTTCCACCAGGCCCCTTGCCACTTAAAAATACCAGAACTTGTCTCATCTCTTCCAGCAGCAGTTCCACCTCCTCTGACCACTGGTGCGCATGGGCACAAGCCTTGCACCATTCCAATTGGACACCTAACAAAATGTTAGACAAATATAGATAAAATATAACATACACTTACAATCTTGCATGCATTCATTTTCCGTGCAGCTGTTATCAGCATGGGACTCTAACCAAATCCAGGAGATGGTTCCTCTCCCTTGCTGCTCCATGTCGCCCAAAGGTTTAACATCAGAGTCGAGAAGTGGGCATATGGTGGCCTCCCAACCACATTTCTCAAGTTGGTGGCCAAGGGACAACAGGGCATTGCATGCACATTTATACTTCAGTACACTGGCTTGCTTCCTTGACTCCACAGCATCAGTAATTCTTTTTGTGCAAGTGGAACCCACCTGACCATGCACATTCTTGTCCTTGTACATGTACATGTGTGATCAAAGGCGGAGGTGTGAATGAACTTTGTTGAGGGCATTGAGGGCCTATGCATAGCGTAGCTCCCACTCATGTCCAGCAAGCTTCTGGTCTACAGGGGTGTTAGCTGGAAGGTGCAAAGGGAGCCACAGGTTGAAATCTTCAAGTTTCAATTCCTGGGACTTCCTGCTGGCTTTGGACAATTGATGCCGGAGTTGACAGACAATAGGCATGTACAGTTCCTGGATGTGAGCCCAGGCATCAAGGCGTTGCTGGAGGGAGGTGATCTGGGTCTGTATCATAGCCTTCTGCTTATCGGTGTCATGGAGGGAGATATCGGCAAGACTGGATCTTAAGTGCGCCCTGTAAAACTGTTGGTACAACGTAGTATAACAATCAATCAAAAATGTACTGTTGATCTTCAAGATCCATGCCTGAAGTAATCAGCCTGCTTGGAGAGATATCAGTGTGAAGCGAGACATTAATACCAGCTTGAAGTTCCTGGGTCTCAAGTTCAATGAGTTGTAGCTGTACAGCTGCCTGGGTGACCGCTACCAATGATCAGCACAACTACTGTGAAAACGCCAAGACCACTTACAATTAAACCAGCTTTCAAAGGGATTGGGAGAAGAATTATCCTCCTCCCAGGATTCTATCTCTGCTTTCCATTGAGTGATGAGAGTCAGGTGGATAGTCGTCTCCAGCTCCGCGAGGGTTTCAGAGTGCTCCTTTGCCCACTTTATGGCCTCAACTATCTTCTTATGTAAAGTCTGCCCTAGGTCTACATCAGAATTTGAGATTGAAAGAAAGAAACCACGCACCTAACACTGTTATTTTCTTCCAGTTCCAATCACCAAAGTGATCATCAAGAGTGTCCCAATGTGTTCCTGGCCCCATCTCTTTGGTGCTTGATGCCACTTGATTGATGTTGGACCAACCCCATTCAGGAGCTTCACCATCTGTTTGGCCCACATATCTTGACCAGTTGAAGGAGAAGTTGGTGCAACACTTATCGACATGGGCTTGGATGTGGAATTTCACGACAAAAAATCATATAAGAGATGATTCACGGGGAGGGCAAAGCCATTCTGGCATCATGGACATCGTGAAGATGAAGAGTGCAGAACACACAATGTAGTCCATGTTGATGTACCTAAGTAATATTAGCTGCGAGAAATTCCGAATACAATATACCGCGTACTGTTCCCCCTTCTGAAGGTCTCCAACACCATTAGGAAGCTTCATGTTGTGTCGGGCGCAGTCGATCGTCCCAACACCTGTGGCAGCAAGCCCACGAGAGGACTTGATATCTGCCATATTGACTGCATTGTGGCTTACACATGTGCTTTGCTGCAGGAAAAAAATTAACTTGATAATTATCACAAGAATCACATTACTTACCTCTTGCTTTTTGGTAGCACGGTCTGCAATGTAAGACTTATACCTGTGATCCTGCATGAAATATGCCCATCCGGCATTGAGGCTAGGGTCAGCAGTATCGGAAGACACAGCCTTCCGCTTGAGCCGAAGTTTGCATCAATTGCTACAAACAATGTGTATTTCCATCTGTTCAGATAATGTGAGCTTAGCAAACAGAAAATCAGAGAAAGACTTACTTGATAGACAGTGGCTCCTGCTCCTAGTCTGGCGGAAGATTCTTGCCAGGTTGTGGACATGCGGGGCATAGAACAGCTAACTCCCCTTTGGCTGTAGCATTAACTCCAGCAGGGTCATGTCCCCTCCCTCCACAGCCAAGTTGTTTGAGGTTGCACCATTGGTGTACCATCCGCATGAAAGCGGAATACTGATCCTAGAATATATCATCATCAGATAGTTCAAGGAAGAGATTAAAATACTCACCTTAATCCCTATTAACCCGGAATTATCGGTGCATCTTGCAAGCAAATGGTAGAACTCGTAAGCAGACACCTTGCTCTCATTCTGGGTTAATAGGGATTAAGGTGAGTATTTTAATCTCTTCCTTGAACTATCTGATGATGATATATTCTAGGATTGGTATTCTGCTTTAGGTGTCTGCTTACAAGTTCTACCATTTGCTTGCAAGATGCACCGATAATTCCGGGTTAATAGGGATTAAGGTGAGTATTTTAAAAATGCTGCAGAACTGCGAAGGTCGCTGCAGTTTGAGGCTCGGAGACAGTCGCTGGATACCACCGCATACGTAGCAGTTGTGTGTACCAGACCTGAGCTGAAGCACAGCCACAGAAGTCTAGTGCAACTTCATGAACGCCATTGAGCCCAATGACCACGAAATTGTCACCAGCAGAGGGGCGAGGATTATAGCACCTTTCTCCTGGGTTATGGCCAAGCTGTATTTGAACCCCAAGCTTTTTCAGCATGATACGTTGAAAAAAATGACCCGTTCCACATCTGACAATGATCAGTCACACATTGATGGCAAAATAAGAGTAACACATACCTCAATTCTATGCAACGGATGATACACATGCTTTTGAAGCGTGCATTCATGGCAGAACATTTGAGTGCCATGACAATCACAGCACCAGAATTCAGGCAGTACTCCACCGCACAAACAAGTGATGCCCTCAGACTCGTATCCATTGAGATGCATCATTTCATCCAGGAAGCTTTGACGTTCTGGAATCCAGGCTAGCAAAGGTGCATCCTAGAGTCCAGTAAATCAGTCCGACCAACACACCAAATGAGAATACCCACCGCTGCAGTCCGTTTGTGTTTCCCCACAGGAGCAATGTCGATAATGTCTTCTGTGAGTGTTCCATTGTCACCTGCATGCTCAACCCAATCATCTATAAAGGGTAGATTGTCGTTTGGCAATTTCTTGGGGAGGTTTCCAGCAACATAGTGCATTTGCAGCTGCATGCTCCCTTCAGTGGTGATCTCTGCTGCATGAAGTCACAAAAGAGGAGGTTCTGGGTTGATAGAGGCAGGCACAAAGGCCTCACATTCAACTGCAGGCCTCTTGGGGGGGCGGCCACAGCACATGTGCACTATAGTCAATCCCGCTGTGACTGACCTCCATACAAACTAGTGAAGGCCGCATGCAATGGATGACATGACATAATCTGCATCGCAAGAAGAACCAAACGGGAATTGAATTGCAGAAATGGTTCAGATACTGGGGGATCAGGATGCAATGGATGACACGATGTAATCTGCGTTGCAAGAAGAACCAAATGGGAATTGAATTGCGGAAATGGTTCAGATACTGGGGGATCAGGCAAGCTAGAGTAACATAACCATAAGTCAGAACAGGAATTGAATTGTGGAAATGGTTCAGATACTGGGGGATCAGGCAAGCTAGAGTAACAGAACCATAAGTCAGAACAATTTGTTTGATAATCCACTTACCTTCTAAGGCCATACTCAAGTTTTGAGAGCTTGAGGAGTTCGACATTAGTGGGAGACTTCAACGTGGTTGGCAAGATTAGTCAGCTGTACACCTCATAATCACTAATACTCAACACTTTGCAGTGATCCTCCATTTCTCAAATGTCTGATTCCATCGGTCTACTGGATATATATTCAGATCACGGTGAGTGATACATCATCCACCTACTCAGAGTATCTCACTGAACTCACTACTATGACTCAGAACTTGCCTTCCTCCAGTCAGACAGATACCATGGTGTCTGTCTGACTGGATGGTCTCATCAATTTTCTGCAGTGTCTTTCCCTCAATGATCGGAAGGCATTGTCTCAGGCCTTAGGCACCAGCACTGGTGGAGATGGAGATACGTCTGATGGTAAATCCATTGGTTCTTTTATACAGTATTTTCATTACTTACTTAGCTTCGGCGATGTTACAGATAATCTCACCATCAGAACACACCCTGGCAGCATTGAAACACCTGCTCCAGTTGCCTTGCCTGACATAGTGGCTGCCCCTGGTGCTGACACTACTCCTACTTCCGCCTCCACAGCTGTCCCTACTGCTCCTCCTCCTGCTGCCCCCACCATGGTTCCTACAGGACCTATCACTGTCCATGTCGGCTACAACAAATACGACTCCTCTGACAATGAAGATGCAAGCAATGCAGCCATTGCGCTTGCAAATAATTCCACGCTGAGTTATTACCATGGAACCTACTTCAATGTGCCAGTTGATGTCAGCCCACCCCTCTATTATGTGACTAGAGGTCACTACATCGGCATCTTTTCAGGCTGGTAAGCTGGATTCTTTTCAGTGTCTCACATCTAGAAGTTCATTTCTTCGTGGTAGGGATGCAACTGGTCCCAAAGTGCTTGGCATCTCCTGCGCCATCTATCACAAGGTAGATTCCATTGAGCAAGGCATAAGCATCATGAAGGGCGCAATTGATTGCAGTGATGCTTCACAGGCATTGTAGCACGTTTGGTACATTGTTACAGTATGGAATGTAATACATATCACAAAGCTAAGAGTTTGTCCTGCTGATACTTCAGTGTGTGGTGCACATGCACGATTGCAAGAGTAGAGGTACCCTGCTCAACATGCCACAGAACATCCTCCAAATATGCTATCACCTGACGAGTCACTCAACAGACTTCATCTGTGGCCCTCCACTCATCACATACTCTGCACATGTCGAAAATTGTGTCTTGACCACAATATGCCTTCCCGTTGTGGGTACAACAAGTGCAGCGGAGAGAAGTCAATCTACTACACAGTTGGGTCTTTGCTGCCTGCTGCCTCACTTGGAAACAAGCACGTTCGACCCTTAAGGGGATTCATCAGGAAAAACTGTATCTCTATATAGAGGACCATCCTCTATATAGCCCCGATAGCACACCACAGCTCTATACAGTCTATCGCAAGCTATCACAGCACTATAGACCAGTATAGACATCATGAAAGTCTATATTACCATAAAGTTTGGTAAGTGTATTTAGAAGTAAAACATTTCAACAACTATAGACCCCAGTAGACTGTGGGAACTTTTTTCGATGAAAACCAAAGTTGTAGTCCTTGTCAAGGGAAGTCTATCCATAGTCTAATGACTTCAATAGGTTAAGATCCTAGTGAGTTACAAGGAAAATACTCGAAATCGAAGGGTTCAAGAAAGCAACTTGACCGTGGGAACCTTTTTCGATTAAATCAAAGTTGTAGTCCTTGTCAAGGGAAGTCTATCCATAGTCTAATGACTTCAATAGGTCAAGATCTTAGTGAGTTATAAGGAAAATACTTGGAATTGAAGGGTTCAAAAGTGTTAAGGTACACCTTATTTATGTAAGCAAAAATGCGAAAATTCACCTTATGTGTATTCAAAATCCTAATGCTAACAGTCAATTTCATTGTCTTTTTCTTACTGTCATAATCCTAGTCCTATTAACCAAAAACTCGAAAATTCACCAAGTCTTGTGTTGTGGCTTTGTTTGGCACTGCTTATGTAAGCAAAAATGCGGTCAACCAACAAGTCTTTTCCCATTCTTTCCTTCCCCCCCCACTGCCCCCTCATTAGATTATCTTCCATATTTTTCTTATAATTTTCGAGTTTTTGCCTCTCTTCTCTTCTTCTTGCTTCTCTATCCTTCTCTTGGTGTTGATGTTGTTGGTGCTGGTACTGGTGCTGGTGCTTTGAACTCTGGTAAGTCTCCCTCCATAATTTTCGCATTTTTGACTATTTGACTAATCTTTTTTCTAACCCTCTCCTTCTAGCTCTCTTCCCTCCTGCTCCTCCTCCCCCCAACTATTTTCGCATTTTTGACCATTTGGCAAGTCTTTTCTCTGACTCTCACTTCCTCCTGTCTGATCCTCTCCTTCTAGCTCCCTTCCCTCCTCTTCCCTCAAGAATTTTCGCAATTTTCACTATTTGGTAAGTTCTTTCCTCTCTGATTCTTCCTTCTAGTTCTCTTGCCTCTTCCTCCTGTAATTTTCGCATTTTTGCCTGTTTTGTAGTTATTAGTTTACATGTATTGTAGTAGTTGAAATATAATTTGGAATTTTCGCTTTTTTTTAATTTTGAGAACACTATCATGGCAACAAACAGCTATTAAGAGAAATTTTTGCTTTGTGTTTTGAGCTATAATAGCTACAATAGTTGTGGTATGTTCCACCCAGCTATAGCAACTTTAATAGAGCTATATAGCACTATACACTGGTGTAGTAAGCCTGCACAATTGGGCACTTGGCTATACGAGCTATAGGGCTATGGAGTCTGTATAGCAGTCTATAGCACTATGGGTGGCTATATAGCCTTACCACATTTTCCTGATGTTGCTACTGGGGAAACACTAGTCTCTGTCTAAAGTGACCCTATAGGATGAAGGATCTGCAAAAGCGGATGAAACGGATAGGATGTGAAACATACAGATTCATCAGATGGAGCGGATGCCACTTGCGGATCGGATGGGATGCGAATCAAAGTCAAAGGGAGTACATTAAAGGTTGGATGAATAGTGGGTATAAGTCAAAGCGACCTTCTGGTAAGGTGCAGGAAAAGTGGGAGGAAGTTACATGAAGTAAGTATTTTTCGAAACCCTCCATGCTTATAGGGTACAGTATTTTCAAGGAACATAGATACATAGGTAGCGAGTCTAGACCGTGCCATAAGCTATCTGAAAAATACTGGAGTGTGAGAGGATATGTCTGTGTTCAGTCAGTAACAAGAAAATGCGTGTGAGTACGTACCAATGAGGTAGAATGGACGTGGACAGGACGGATGCGGCGGATGTGTGAGCTATAGGGGGAGATCCGAAGGTATCCGCATGTCGTCCGAAAAGCGGATGGGTATCGGATGGAATGGATAGGTGTCGGATGGACGTCGGATGGATGCCTGATGCATCGGAAAAGTGGTGGATACAAGCCTAGCGTAGGGATACTCCCTACACCATGAATGTTTCTGACCATGCTGATGGCATCCTTGATTATGGAAGTATCACCCATATCCTTACCATGAACAGATTCAACAGATTCAATGTTGAAGGTTTCCCAAGGTACCATTGTGATGTATTTCCCAAGAATTTGTTTGACAAATGCATAAGGACTGGATAACACACTGAGACCAATGAGCTTGTCCTTGGCGTCTTTAACTAGTTCTAAGCAATCTGATAGTGTTGTACTATTAATCGCATTTAGCTATCATGTGTCTCAACAGAATACAAACACTTACGGTGGTGGAGTCGGAGAAGTGTCCATCTCCATCTGAGAGGCAGAGTCAGAAGATATTTTGTGTGTTGGCACCGTGCAAGAAAGGTGTCGTTTGGTGTTGATCATTTCTTTATGTCTGCAGCGGCAATCTGAGTCAGTTGATTATTTAATGGTCAGATGACAGGAAAAACTCACCTGTGATAGTACCTTTTCGTTTTTCACGCACAGCTTGCAGCTTGGCCTCTGGAGTTTTGTGTATGGCTGAACGACCTGCCATGGGTGAGCAACATTGGTAGCAAACTTTATAACTTGTGCGAATCAGCGGAGAATTTCAGTGGCCCATAAAAGTAATACAATCTCCTTTAACAGTGCGCACCATTGGACCTAAATGTATGTGCTTGAAATCAGTCATAGTTCTTAGTCGTACTAGGGGAGTTTGACTCGTCAGAAACTACCACTGGGAGGTCCAAGATGTCAGGTACTTAGCTGGGTGATGAGTGAGGTGTCTGTTGTTGAGAGTAACGGTATGCATGATTATGGTCATACTTCAGGACTGCAATTGTAATCATTAATTACGGTCCAACAACTTGGGTTCGAATCAGTCAGAGTATGCCTCGACCACAACCATTAAGCCTACACACCTAATTATTAAAAATGTACGTGAACGATTGTTTAGCTGTGAGTGCTTGAGCTGCAAGAATAACAGATTACTGGCATGGAAATAGGCACTGTATATTTAGACTGGATAAAGGCTGAACATTTGTATTTTGCGTTCAAAGATACACTTTGATGCGGAAGAGTGAACTATGCCCACAACAAAAGCATCATCAGTACTACCCAAAACACCCAACACACATAATTCAAAATCTCCACACAAAGACCCTTCCACGTCAAATTTGAATTTGTGACCATACTTATCCACATCCCTCCTTTCCCATTCTGCACCGGGATCTTCACAAAACACCTGTTCTCCACGACTATATGCACCTCAAGCACTTTTGCAGCGACTTGCTCGAAATATGATAAAGAACCCGCTCCTAGGTGTTGGGTCAAGTGAGGAAGGGAGTTCAAGGTTCGGAATATGATAAAGAACCCACTCCTGGGTGTTGGGTCACTGAGGAAGGGCAGTCGAGGAGTTCCTGCATGCTGTTAGTGAGTCAAGATCAGACGAGAAAGGGGCAACATCAACCTGCTTCTCGTGATCCCTTTGATCAATCAGTCTGGAAAAGTCTGGGAAAAAATGTTACAACCTTGGCATCAGCTGATGCAATGGAACTATAGAACAAAGGTATGTTGGTTTAAAATCAATGAAAGTCACACACATGGCACCAATATGATGTGCTGATTGTAACATGAATAGATGGCACCACGTACATGGCTCATGGAGGAACAACTAGCCTTCAATGCAACTTTTGAGGAGGAGTACCTCACGTGCCAAAAAAAAAAGGGAACTACAGCACCTTTTGGCAACCTTTCTTCAAAAAATGGGAAGAGCAATGGCCTGCGAGGGCTTCTGTGTTTCCAGATATTCCTTTGGTTCAAGCTCTAACTGCGACTCAATTAGAGGAAGAAGACCAATTCAAAACTGCACTTCAGAAGGTCTGTTTCTTATTTTGCACGTGCATTATTGGAGACTCACTATTGCATCCAGCACTTGACTGTCAAATTCCGTAATGATTATGGTAATTCAAAGCCTGGCCACAAGGCAGCTGCAGCAGGCAATTTGGCTGTCCACAGACTTCTCTCCAATATCGTTACAGGACCCACGACCGGTGCCCCCAATCACAGGAAGACAAATATTCAGGTGGTTTGGAAGCACATCGACCGATGCTGGAAGAATGAGTCTGTTGAGGTGAAGCAAGAAATATCTCAACTTACGAGAGAGATGAGGGAAGCAGGACATGAGGTAGCGAAGGAGCGAAAATCATCCAAGGTGGCCAATGTTAATGACCTGTAAGTATTCTTCTCTTTGCTTCTTGCTACTTTGCTGATTGAAGATAGAATTATTCCAAGACTCACTGAAATTCTCTCAACCTTCTTTGGAGAGCTTCATGAGGCCACAGGATGGACTTTCAGTGTCCTGCTTGGTGGTCCTGACCCATCAAACAGAGGTGCAATTGATGTCAGCAGCTTGCATGTAGGGTCAACGAAGCTTGGTAATCACTTTAATCACACATTTGCGAAGTTTAATGATAATGTTATAGTACCGTACTATGAGTTTGTTTCTCATGTTTTCTGTATATATTCATTATATTTTCTCAAACATTGCACTGATAATGTTTAGCTGAAGCTGGGACTTCAAATCAAACAGTCGCCCAGAGTCTTGAGGACGAAGATCTCCTCCACATTTCTCCTGCTCCAGACGATATTCCCACCAATGATTCTCCAAGACCTATGACCACAGCAGCTGATACATTACATGGTTCACACACCGCATCCCTACAGCCAGACTTGGCATCTATCATGCCTACCACAGAACTAGGACAAGAAAAGGTAGTTACTGCATTACCTGAAGATTTCTTCCAAAACATGCCCTCTGCTCCTCAAGACAATGAGATCGATCAAGAGCTGAATATGCCCATCCTCTCCATGCCAGAGGGCTACGTACCCTTCTGTCCGCCACCCCCACTCTCTCTGGACGCTACATCTACCTCTGGATCTTTTGATCTGGATCTGGATCTTGAGAGTTTTGATGATGCTCTCAAATCCATGCAGTCCCAGGACACCATCACAGGAATGGTTTGTTCCCCTCCCTGCATTCGTTATCAGTTCGACAATATCTTTAGATTTTCTTCACCCACAGCGACTGCCTCTACCACGTCCACCATCACCCATTTACCTGCAGTCACTGATACCATGCCTGCTATCACTCCTTTTACCACTCCCTCTGCGACTCCTTGTACCACTCCGGTCGTCACACGTTGCACCATGCCTGCCACAACTCGTTCACCTGCTTTCGCACCTTCCACAACCCCAGTTGTTACACCTTGCACCACACCTGCCATCACCCATTCACCTGTGGTTGCATCTTCCACCACACCCGCTACAGCACCCTTGCCAGCTGCACCCACAACTCCTGTGACACCAGGAATGAGGCCTTCTCCTGGGATGGCGGTTGATGAACCTCCGGCAAAGCATCAGAAAAAGGCTCGATGCACACATGCAGGAGAGACGGATCCACCACAGCCTGTGGGCCGAGGAAAATGGCAACAATTCCAATCCACTTGAGCTGCTGCCGCCAACATGATTGGTTAAATCTTATTTGAATTATAATAGTAATGCCTTTAAGATTACATGTGTGTATAGCATATATCTTGAAATTTGATTGTCTTGAGCAAAAAAAAGGCAAAGGTTGGCCTGGGTGACCTCAATGAAGTTTGCATTGGCACTTGCTGAAATTGGACAAACCCATTTGCAAAAAATTTCCATCCATGGCATGTTTCGCAAAATCTGCATTCATTCAATAGTACTAAGTAAACATATATCTTGTACCATCTATTCCATGTCCATTGCTTGGTGCCACAGGTGCCAGATCTGATTGCAGCATTGTTGTCCTCAACAGGTGCTTCTAGTTCATCTGCAAAATCAGTGTCCCATCAGCCATTGAATTCGGTACAAGTGCAAAAATTCAAATGGTGAGCCTCTGGTTAGATTAAGGTCAGATTGGGGATGAAGTGATTGCAGGTAGCCTCAGACATACACTTGCCAAATGTTTTTGAACTAACATTGTGCCGGAGGTGACGGCCACCTGAAAAAGTCCACTCAGCATTACCCGAGGAACCTATTGGTTGCTGTAAGATTTCATCAATTAGCAAAGGGCGAAAATACCTGGAGCCAGGACATTATGACTTGTAGAGGTGCTTGTGCAAAATTCAAATGACGGGGCTCGTCCTTCATATTGAAAATAAGATCAACAAGTATCATCATTAATAAACCAATATGAAACATACCTCGAGGATGGGCACCAAGTGCTCAGCAAATGTCACCTGTGTCACGCCCTCATCCTTCATATTGAGAATGAGAGCTCACTGAAAAGTTCAAATAAGATCAACAAGCATCATCATTAATAAAGCAATAGAAACATACCTCGAGGGTGGGCACCAAGTGCTCAGCAAATGTCACCTGTGTCACGCTCTAACATTGATGGATGTTCTCCAAGCCACCCGCAAAGTGCCGAAGAACTGTACATATGTAGATGAGATGTGAATTGCTGTTGATGGACGCTCTCCAAGCCACCCGTAAACTGCCGAAGAACTATACATACGTTCATCTGAGTAAAAATACTATGTGCCAGTGCGTGGGCTAAATAAAACCCTGCATAAAAATATATTGACCAAATAAAGTTGGCTGACACAGAAAGAACCAACCACTGGCAGCTGACAAATCTAAGAAACCATCAGCTGACAAATATAAAGAACGGAGGAACAATCAAAAGAACCCAGAGAACCAGGAATGGGCTGGATGCAAGCATCTTTTTTGGATTCACCAGTGATACATCAGCTGCTACTGCCTGTAAGTACACTGTGGGGTTCAGCAACTATTGTATCACATTTTTGTTACCACTGTAGGCTATGTAATGTATTAATATCACAGTATAGCCTGTCCATTTGCAATCCTCCACACTGCAATTCATATCACGACATTCCCTTTCATACCACATCAGTTGCTTGGCGACAGGCTTATCGCTTGTTGTCCTGCATCGATCCCTGGGTAATGAAGGCGATCCTCTTGTACTAGTACATATCCCTTAGTGGGAGGATGCCAGAATCTGCTCACTGTTAATGCTGCACCATACACAGGGCCAAGATTGCTACCTCTATAATATGATTTATCAAGAAGTTATTGCCTGTACTTGACCGTGATGCATAGCTTTACTTTCATTATTGTAGGCCTCCTCACGCACTTCTGCTTTCTGTTTGACATACTGTGTTTAGTGTACATACTAGAGCGTCTTAAAATGCAATTGCCAACAGTCAAACATTATTATTTGCTCAGAAAACACTCTCAGAATGTGACAATGTCTCATGGCATGACTGTGGCAACTTGAGGCAACGCTAAACCTAATGTGCTCGGCTGTTCTCTGAAAATCCCGGATGTGCTTTCACAACACAGTGGTATTTCATATTGACTAGTTCTACTAATACCTTTATTAGGAATCATTGTATAATGATGGCGAATATTAGAGGCGGAATGCCACCCAACACAGAGAATCAACAGAGTTTGGAACTATATTACATGTACTAGTGTTGGCTGTCATGATTTGGTAGTTATTATCAATTTGAAGGCACAGGGGCTTATGGACTAAAATTGGATGGCGTGACATGACCTCATCCGCGTGATTTCTTCGTGTCACTAACGAAGACGTGTCTGGTCCTACTATCTCTCAATGTTCAACTTAAATTTGGACCTCACAACGTTGTACAACCGAAGCCCGTTCCCAAACTGCGACCGCTGCAAAGTCAAAGCCAGTCCAATATAGTCTGTGACTCGGCACGTCTCGCTGCCGGCAGTACCCAAATGTACGAATTAGAAAATGACCTGGCCTCGCTGGCAGGCGAGATATAGATAGATGCTCTCGCATCTCAAGCTCTAGATGCTGACTCATTGTGACAAACAGGCTGTCTATGTGCAGTCAGCTTGCATCTGTCCATTTCATCTTTTGCTCTACGCTTACAATTTCATTAGATCAATATCAGGCTATGTCACGGTTAGGGTATGGGCGAAAACCCGATTTTTATTAACCGCATTAATAACAACCTGTTAATAATTTGTTAATAACGGTTAATGACATGGGTGCCACTTGGGAGGGGTTAATAAAGTGCTAATAAGTCAAGTGACCCCTGCGAGGTTCCAGTCTTCATGCCTTCCTGTTGATCGAAGTCCTGGCACTGCAAATCATGCAAATCATGCAAAGAAGACAGCGAGAACAAGTTGAAGGTATTGCAATGTCATATTTACAACTTTCTCTTCCACTCACCTGTCAGACGAACACTAGCAGTTATGGTTGAAGGCATTCACAGCAACTCACTTTTCGCCATTCCGGATGACATGCGGTCCATTATTTTTCCAGACAAGAATATGTCTGTGTCATCTCTCTTACTGTTCCAACTTCCATCCCCCACTGTGGCTGACCCCCCATCTTTACATCAGTATTTCAGCCATGATGAGCCACACCACGAAAAATCATATCCCTATTACCTTTGCACGCACACTACACCTACTCCTGAAGTTTTACGGCACCTCCTAGACCAGGCATCACATGTGAAATCTGCTGGTAGCAGATCAGTTCTCTATGGTCATACTGACACAAAACATCACTTTCCGTTCTGGATTTTGACGTTTTGGCTCGAAGTGCCTGCCTTACTTAATATCCAGTACAAGTGGCATTGCACAGAGACTTTCCTGACCAAACAGGAGTCTAATCCTGTGGCATGCATCTTCCACGCTTCCATGGACAGATTATGCTGGTCGGGTGCGACATCAGGCTTCAGTGACTGGGCCCCGATCCATGATCTTGCAAAACTTTGCATGCAGGGAATGGTTAAGTGATACCAATCTAAATATGATGCTTGATATTATCTATGCAGGTGAGGACACAGCATCGAAGCATACCTTTGAGCAGATGTATTTTGTCCCTATGCTATTGATGGCATATCGTGACCATTGTGGGGAACGTCCCCACCGTAGGCCCATATCCCGCATATTTCCCATGCCTTCCCACCATTTTCCCGCGCGTTCCGCTACCCATCCGCATCTTCCCCGACCCGTCCGCTACACGGAACCAAGCAGAACCCAGCGGAACAATCGCGTACCACACGCATTATATTCCTACAGCCTTCGGAACATCCTCCTCCATCCTGTCCATGTCCTTCCATCCTCGCTGGTGAGTACTAGCTACGTTCTCCATGTCACTAACATGTTCCTATCTCATTTCCCATGTGTTACGGTACTTATATGGATCCTTCCGCTACTCAGGACCGATTCCTTATCTCACAGCCTCACCCGGTTGTAGCATATCGCATTTCGGAACCCCTTCCTATATAGGTAGCAATAGATGGGATCTTAGTTTTTTACCTTCTGATAGACTCGACTCCACTTCCACTTACAGAGTACTTCCCAGTACTCCACTCACTGTTTAAAATATCTTCCCGAATCTATTCCTGATCACATTGCATCGTTCCCGACCCCGTGAGTTCTGCTTGAAATGCCCGACATCGGATCCGACGACTTGGAGCAAGTACCAGACACAAGCCTGGTCCGACTTTGCCCAATCATCCTCCTGCAAGCTCGTAGTTTCTTTTCCCTCCATTTGTTCCCCATTAGTTCCGTTTGTTCCCCATCTGTCCTGTTTGCTCCGCGTTAGTTCCGTTAGTTCCCCGTAGTTCCGCTCGTCACGCGCTGAGTTCCACTCGTCGGGAACCCTCCGCATCTTTGTGTTCCCAGTCCTAGTAAGGACCGGAACCCTTCGGGTCGCTAGACAGAGTCTAGTCTTTGTTTCCTCGCACTTATTTGAGGACTCGCTACCCAGTAGCAATCCCCTCGGGACGAGTATAAGCCTCGCACCCTTGTTAGACTTCTGATTCACACAGAGTCTATTTTCCTCACCCACACCGTGCCCAGGGCACCTATCTCTCTTTGTGGGAGACACAGTGTCTTCGTAATGCTGCAGAGAGGTTATTCCAGGATTGCCGGTATGAAACCCTTGGATTCCCGTGCAATATCAACAACAGTCACTGGACGGCAGTTGTGATTGATACAACTGACCGAAAAATTCGCTACAGAGATTCATTTGGCACCGCTGTTCCTCATTTTCTGAAGGATGTGATCAACTGGTGGCTCTCACACCACGTACCTGCTCCACTGGATTGGGACACTCTCAAAGTCGCCCGTCAGGAAGATTCACACTCATGTGGTTTGTTTGCCATCAATGCCATCGCACATCACATTTGTCCGTCAAAATTTTCTCTTTATCACCGCGTTTAGAGGACACGGATACTGCTCGCATGTGTTTTGGGAACACTATCATTGACCGTCATGTAAGTCCGTTCTTTACCAATTTGCGCCATGTTCTGATGTTCGCTTCCAGCTCGCTTGTTCATCCCCAGTCATAACACTCTTACCACCATCAACTCCATCGCTTTCGGAGTTTTCTTCACTGCCAGCATCACCGTCACTGTCACTGTCACCCTCTATTTCCCATTCCCCTCCATGCCTCATCAAGACCTTTCAGGGAAAGAAGAATATCCCACTCGCACCTATTTTCAAGACCACCACATCGGTTGCACCCAAAATATCTCGAAAACGCAGTAGAGTGAGTTCTGTTCACTCCGGAGATTAATGTGTTCATTACTAACTTACTTCAAAACCAAGGCAGACACTCCTGCCGATGACTCTGATGATGAACCACAGGGTGGCACATTAGTTGATATTGTGCCTAAAAAGTGCCGTGATGTCCATGGCAAGGCTCAAGGCCGACCACACACCACCATACTCAACAAGATTAGCCAGGAGTGTCATGAACTTGGCCAGCCAAAGAAGATATGGTTCCAATGTTGTGGAGACAATTGCAGATATAGTCTATCTGCACCCGCCAATCGAAAACGCCTGTTGAAGCATGCAGCTTCATGTCACCGGCTGCCAACATCTCTTTGTCGTGAAGTTAACAAGCTGCTTACAAGTGAGAGCTTGGGAGCACGAGTAGAGAAATTGGAAGAGACCAGCCAGGTGATCTCGCAATCCGACGGTCAGCCAACGCTGAAAGATAGTGATAGCAGGGAGAAGCTCGTATCTGCTGCCCCAGTTGAGCATCCGAAGACAAAACTAGAAGTGGAGGCTAGAAAAGTTGGGCGTGAACTCCTTCATGCTCAACTGGACCTCGCAATAGTCAAGCTCATCTGTGCAGCTGGGCTTCCTCCAACAGTTGTTGATTATGACGAGTGGAAAGAAATTTTTCTGATTGCAAACGCAGCATATCATCCATCCTGCAGTACTACGATTGCTGATACACACATCACGGGTGAAGCTGCACGTGTTCGGACGCTTAGCATCACCTTCCTGAAAACACAGATCAACCTCACGATTTCTTATGATGGAGGCACGACCAATCGCCCCCAGTCAGTCTACACAGTCCATTTCATGACATCAGATGGACGAAGCTTCCTCGTCGAAGGGGAAGAATCATCTGACACATCTCACACAGGGGAGCACATTTCATGCATGCTTCTGAATGCAATGGACCTGGTTGGCCGCTTCCGTTTTTCTGGTATAACATCTGACAACACAGGCAATGTCCGTGTTGCGCGACAACTCGTCTGCCAAGCTGTTAAAACTGTCATTCCAATGTCCGATGCATGTCACCATCTCAACCTCCTTTGCAAGGACATTGCAAAGCTTTCGACATTCAAAAATGTGAGGCTCAATGTCACTTCTGACGCACTTCGAGACTGTTGTTCTAACCTCTTCACCACAGATGATCACCCAGCTCCGCTCCATTGTAACATTTTTCCGCAAGTCAACAATGGCATCTGATGCACTGCGAAAAGCAAGGCTGCGAAAAGGCATTGCTCGAGGAATTGAAGGCATTGGCAAGACACAGTTTGCTACAATCTGCGCAGCTGGTATCTCAGTTCAGCGGTGCCTCCCAGCGGTGCAGGAACTTGTCAACTCAGGCGCAGTCAAATTTCCAGGCAAGGTACCATTCACAGCATTACTATGTCAACTTCAAATTACTTACTGCTGATCACGTCTATTTTGCTTGCAGAAGGCAGAGCTAGCAAGTCTCTTCAAGTCAGGCAGTGTTAGTGGGATGAAGTTTGAGCTTGACCTCAACCGGTTTATCAATATTGAGGGTCCCATTGCCAAGGCTATCATCTGTCTTGAATCCATGCAGATTAATCCAGCCGATGTTTACAAGTATTGGCTAGCCATATGCGGCTGCATTAAGCAAGTTTTCGAAGATACTTCGACCAGATTCACCACCGAAGAAATGGGTTGGATTTATGCCATTGTCAATTCTCGCTTCCGTGAGCAACTTCAGGACGGACCAGCTGACTGCTACCTTGCTGCCCTATGTTTGGATCCTCATAGGTCGCAGTTATACTTATCTTCATGATGCTAATGTTGATCTATGGGACAGACTATGTGCACAGCGCGATCCTCCATAATCCACTCTCTCTCAAAATCAAGCTCCCTCGAATCTCTGAGTCGGGTTCAGCATCGGATGAAGATGCCCTCAAGTCACCTACTTATCGACGTGTTACGAAGTACCTCAAAACCATGCTCGAAGCTGAATACAAGTCTCAGCATAACCCAGTCCTCAAGGGTAAAACAGCAGTGTTTGTCCGGGAATCATTTGTCCGTCAATTTGAGCACTATGTGAAAGGACAGTATCCTTTCGACACACCTTTGGAGGAAGGGCAGAACATGCTCTCATATTGGACTCATTTGACAAAAATTTCCGAAGGGTCCATGCTTGCGGTGAATTGCTCATCATAGTATGATGGACAATTACTAATTTGTCTTCTACTTCCAGTGCATAGCCCAAAAGCTCTACTCGATCAAGCTGTCCTCCATACCAGAAGAACGTACCATGTCTGTGTTCATGAAGATGAACACACCTGCAAGAAATCGTCAACAAGTCCGCACCCTCGTTGACATGACGCAAATTCGGCAGTGGCACATGTATGATCCTAAGGTTAGTTTTGTGTTGAGTCAATTCAAGCTGGAACTAACCATACACAGAAAATGGCAGAAAGACGGCGCCCTAATGTTGCATTCTGTGATGTCGAGTCTTTAATCTCTGCACCTACTAAGTCCACTGTGGACCGGACAGAAAAGCATGCATCAACAGGCAGCTATTTATCCGTGGATGCCGCTGACGAAGACGAAGAGATGCTTGATGAAGAATACACTTGGCTGGATGAGGTAGCCACATCTGTGCCAGCTCAAGATTCAGCCTTCGAGGTCGAGGCTGAAGTGGATATCCATGCACCAATTGTGATGAGGATCTTGTCAGATGAACGCGAGTGTGTAGCTGACCGGGCTTTAGAGAATGATGGCTGTAGCAGTGACGGTACTAGTGACTTGGAGGATGCCGATGCCGAGTGGGCCAACTGGTAGAGAACCCTCAGGAGAATTTTTTTGATTTTTGGGTCACGTGATTGTTAATAACTTGTTGATAACTTGCTTGTTATTAATTCCCTGTGAGCAACATGCTATTTAGCCATGTTATTAACTGCTCGGAGAGTTTTTGCCCGTACCCTAGTCACGGTCATCCTATATTCAACATGCCATACTCCCGCACACCGTCGCCTTTGTTTCCACAACCCTCTCAGTTATTTTCCCCCATGGCATCAGCTCAAGCCGACTCGTGCAGAACATATTGGCTTTTTTCCTGTGCACTTGATGTCGTTTTTTTAAAGTGGTTTGTACAATCTGCATTATGAAATACACTGGATTCTTCTTTATAGTGTGCTACACGACTAGTGTGAGTGATAAACGAACAATCTCAATATGACCGGCAAGGATAGGCCAGCTTCACAGAGTGCTCTCAAATTTGCATGACTGCTCCAGTCAACTGCTTGCCAGCAGCCTGGCCCTTCGTTGGCCACTTTTGCTGACGATCGGCAATGACATTTAAGTTGCTCACATCATTAGTGGAGCCCTTCCCGCTACTGTTTGTGTCATTTTGTGTCAGCGCTTGGTGGCATCAAGACCAGCGTCTGTTGTGCCGACCAGCGATCAGCAGTGGAAATGCACGTGGAATATGCCCTGCACCCTCCCCTTACCCATTTATTCTCAACCTCTCACCAGCTTCATCCCCAGTCCACATCCCTAGCCCCTCTTGTCCCATCATCCAATCTTCAATGCACCGTGTCGCTCGTCATTTGCTTCATCGCGCCAGCATGCCTGGTAGCTTGAAAGGCCGATATATCAGGTTTCATGGTAGGCCATTCCATATGATCTTGGTATTCGCTTCATGGTATTCACGCTCTATTCACAGTCATCAGCAGAAAAAATCTCAGAGTACCCTCCTGTCGCATACCCACATGCATTTATGTGTCCATCAAACTGGACTCGAGGAGATGCTGGATGTCAGTCGCCCCAGTCCTATTATCTGACAACTCTGTAGCATGGGGCGATACTTTGACTATGTAAAGACTTCTACTACAGAGACTTGTGGATGTGATTCCAGTACTCATTACGTGTTTACAGATCACCAAATGCTTCACCTAGATTATTAATGGAGATCAGGGCATCCTTTGAGTGCGGTGGAATGCTAGGTCATGGAGAACTCATTGGAAAGCTTGAAAGGTCGTGGAATGAGCTTCTCAATAATGGAGATGAGCCTTTTGGTGAGTGATCTGTTCACATCCATCTACATCTCCTCATTGGCTGTAGATTTGTCCTTCCCGCTCATTCGAGGTGTCCATCCTTCTCTCACGCTGAAGGCCGCTTCTGTGCATGCTCGTGGAAACGACGATGGTGGGCTGTTAGATGTGAGTGACCCCAGCCTCCGTGCTATTGTTGCTGATGGAACGCAAATTGTAGTGTGTTGTTGACTGCCAGATTGTTCGGGATACAGACACGGGCCACTCAAAATTTGCCGAGTACATGATAAGCAAGGTGGTCTCTCACCTGAATGATGCAGTGGAGCGATTTCAATCGGTTCTGGACCAGTGTCCGGCTGGCCATCCTGACCATGCAGCCGCTGCCACCAACCTCGTGTGGGCCCGCCTTCAAGGCTATATATGAAAGGATCGTGAAGACATTGACGCTACTACCTCTCTATTCCGCGACGCCCTCGCATTGTGTCCGCAGGGCCACCCCGATCGTCCGTTGTCTCTCTACCATCTCACCAATGCGCTAATATGGCACTACAACAATCAACATACCACCAATGATATCTGTGAATGCGCTAAACTCCACTATGAGCTCCTGTCCCTCTGTCCCGATGGCACTTATCTTCGCAGCATCACAGTAGGAGGAAATGGTGATTATGTGATCCTCGCATGCAACAATCTTGCACCGGATGGATCTGATGAAGGAATCCAACTCCGACGACTCGTGCTTGAGCTCTGTCCTCTGGGACATCAGCACCATCTCAGTGCCTTTAATAAACTTTCATGGGCCCTCAGGGAACGATTTACACAATATGGCAACATTGATGATTTAGACGAGATTATACAATGCTTCCGTGAGGTTGTTTCAACTCTGGCCCCCAAAGGATGCCATCATCATGGAACTTACTTGAACAACTTGGCATTGTCTATCGCATGGCACTTCGATCACCAAGGCAAATCTCATGACCTTGACGAGGCCATCTCTTTGTATGAAGAGGTGCTGTGCCTGTTCCCTATTGGGCATGCATCTCGTGATGCACCATTGGACAACCTAGGGGGCGCACTCCACACCTGTTTCATCCAATGCGGTGACATTAATGACATCAACAGAGCTATCAGCCTCTATCATGAGGCACTAACATTGTGCCCACCTGGGCATCCAACCTGTGACAGCACACTTAACAACCTTGCCATCGCGCTCGCCACCAGATATGACAAATTCAATCCCAGCGAGGACCTTAATGAGGCCGTCAATCTGCACCATCAATCTCTTCGGTTAAGACAGCTTGACAATCCTCAGCGCCACCGAAATCTTGTCAATTTCAGCTCAGCACTCTGCTCTCGTTTCATGGAAACTCGGAACAATAGAGATATTAAGGAGGCCATCAATCTCTGCCAGCAATCATTGGCAGTTTTGCCCTCACTGCACCCGGATAGATATTTCAGCTATGTGTGGCTGAAGGATGCCTATCTTGCTCGTTATCAGGTGCAACACAACCCTGCTGATTTGTCACTCGCATTAGAGAACTCCAGATTGGCATCACTACACCCCACTCAAGGCTTGCCGCAATGCATCATTGCAGCATGTAATTGGATTGTTGCAGCGGAGCAACACAATAATGATGGATCTGCACTGGAGGCCTATGCACTATTTTTTGAGCTTCTTGACGCACATCTAGCCACACGATCATCAACCACGTCGCAGCGCGAAGCTACTGCCGCCTTAAATTATGCCAGTACACTCCCTGTAGATGCTGCAACATGTGCCTTGCGCCATCATAACCTACAAAAGGCCGTCGAACTCGTGGAGCAAGGCCGTTGCCACCAATGGTCGCTGGCCTCTCGCCTGAGGACTCCACTTGAAGACCTTGAGTTCACAAATCCCAACCTAGCTCACAAATTCTCTGCGCTCAGCAAGCGCCTGTCAGACGCTCAGGGTGCCATAGGCAGCGCAGACCGAGCTACTGCTGATAGGGCAGTAGTAGAGTACAGAAGACTTACGAAGGAATGGGACACTGTGGTGGCCGAAATTCGTAATCATCAAGATTTCTCACGATTCCTGCTTCCACCGTCATACACAGAACTGCAAATTGCAGCATCTCATGGCCCAGTTATCATCCTCAATGCCAGCAAGTACTTGTGCGACGCCCTCGTCATCCCTACGTCAGGGCAGCCCTACCATGTCCCCTTCCCTTCTCTCGCTCTCGCACATCTCGAGGTGCTCAAGGACGACTTCACAAAAGCAATACGACAGACATCTGGTATGCGCCAAGAGGTGCCAAGGACAGCGCTGATGGCACTGTTGCGGAGGATATGGGATGTGGTCATGCTACCCATTATCCAAGTGCTCCAGCATGTTCTAAAATTGCTGCACCACTCTCGAATCTGGCTGTATCCGACAGCAGTTTTTACCTCGATTCCTCTCCATGCAGTCAAGTCCTTCTGAAAGAACCCACACAGCTCTGAGCTGGAACCAGGCCTCCAGGATCTCTACATCTGCTCTTACACGCCGACACTTTCGGCTTTGATCAGATCTCGACAGATGATGAAGAACCACACCACTCCGTCTTTTGTGGTGATCAGGCAAAGTCGAGGGGCTGGACAAGGCGAAGAGCTCTTGGCTGTTGAAAATGAGCTCGAGCTCGTCCGTAAGCTTGTCCCCGCAACGGCTGACCCCACTACTCTTTTCGGGGATGCAGCCACGCGAGCAGGTGCACTCGAAGCTTTGCAAAGTAACACATGGGTGCACCTCGCTTGTCATGGCAAGCAGGACCACGAGGAGCCTTACTATTCACATTTCGCCATGAGAGACACCTGCCTCACGTTGCTTGACATCAACAATGCCCACAAGCTGAATTCGTGTTCTTATCGGCATGTCATACCGCCGTAGGTGATGAGAAGATGCCTGATGAAGTTATACACCTTGCAGCTGGTCTGCAATTTTCTGGGTTCAAGAGCGTTGTTGGCACACTGTGGGCGGTCGATGATGCTGTTGCAAAACATGTTGTGGAAGCATTCTATCAGGATATATTCAAGGATTTGAAGGAGGGTGACATTGACTGTACGAAGGGCGGTGTCAGCACTTAACTATGCTACGTATGCCATAAAGAAGGTGGTACCACTCGAGCAGAGGATTGTTTTCATTCATATTGGTGTGTAGTTCCATGTTGCATTGCTTTCATCTCATACAGATTTACAAGACGTTGATCTTTGATTCTAATTTCTCTTTCATCCACATTGTACTTCAAGTTGTTGTAGTACTAGGAATTTCTGAGTTACCCTGATACTATTATGCTTCAGTTATCTTCTTTTTTGTATTCTCTTTCATGTTGTTGTCTACTCTAGAGTGCTTGTGCATTTGAGAATCAACCATATCGTCTTCTGCTTGAGTATGAGTTGACTCCCCAATATTGTACAAGGGAGCTTGGGCGGAACAACACATAATTATAATACCAATGTCCCGTATCGTGACAACAATGTGCAGTATTTCTCAACACCCCAGCACCCTGGACAACGAGTACTACTGGAGCAACCTTGGCACGAGTGAGCCTTGAGAGCCTGTTGATTTGGCTCATCGTCAGCCACAAATGGTGCAGCAACTATTACTCCCACACTTCCTAGTTAGCAAAGATTGTCGAAAGCACTCTTAATGGTTGCCTGTTCGTGAGCACCTGGCGGAGTGTCCGGGAACCAGCGGTCACTTAAAAATGCTAAGTGCGAATGAATGTAGCTACCAAATGTCAGAACTGCTTCGATGCTTGAGGGAGCTTTGCAAACTGAAGGATTTCGGCTTTGTTGCTGGGGCCCCGGCAGTGGGACTGGGACTGCAGTTGGCAGTTGTCGGTTTAGATAGAGCTGAGACAGCGTGAAACAGTCGCCCGTACTGCTGTCATTATTAGCAGCAGGTACTTGTGAACCTCGATCAGAGAATTCAAAAGTCGAAATTCTTCAGACACCCAATGCAAATAATGGTAAGTGAAAACATACTGTGGTAACATACGCGTGTCTTCTGTTAGGCTGACTGTCCTTCCTGCCTGCAATCGGTTTGTTCTTCTCTTCGGTCGATCAGAGTAATAGTAACAGTTTGTGTTACTGTTGCTACGGTCCAAATGGATGCATGAGACCTGCAATACACTGAGACAAATGAACCAAACACTCCTCTTTACTGCAAGAGGAACATCAACAATAGGCGGTAATGCATGACCTTGCACGAACGAGCCACCAGGTTGATATGTGGTCCAAGCGGGGTTTGAAGGCTGTGAGAGCAATAGAAGAGGACCAGGATGGCAGGGCAGTGGTGGAGTGGCTGAAGAAAATGTGAGTCGAAAGTGTGATTACAGCAGTTGAAACACAGTGGTGGGGATCTATATGTGAAAACTTGTGAGTCGTGGCCTGCTTCGGGGAGAGCAATTGGGAGGTAGGTGTGATGTAGCAGGGAACTGGAAGGGGATTTTCGAGTCAACTGCGAAGGAAACTGGTAAAAGAGACAAGGATCAAGGACTAGGAGCTGCGTGTGAGAAGGAAGGAGTTTGCGGAGGTAGCGGAGGAAATTTAAAGCATGTTGCTGTGGGTGTAGGGGAAGGTCTCAGGCGGTCGAGGGGCGAAAGTATAGCTGGGTGAGGACAGGTGAGGATGCACGGCACGACGGACTGCAATAATGGCAATACTGATGGAATAATCGATTATGAAAAAACTGATTCGACACCTATAGCCCCTTAATCATCGATCAATCGATCAACACCGACAACCGAAATGGGTAAGCAAAGCTTCGTGCTCACTGTGGGCAACAGCGAGCTCAACTGTCTCATCATTGTAATGCACTTCTTTGTCGTTGTCTTTTGGCAGAACCATTTAGTGGATGATATGGTTTTGTTTTTTTATCTAGATTATGTTTTGCAAATGTTTTTCGAAGTCCGAGATACTCTATTCCGCATTATTTTGCCTACGGATAGTCATCCAGTTATGGATTTGATTAGGGCTAAACAACTTAAGTGTACATAAATATATTCCACCTCAACCCGGCCCCAATTCGAACTGGGCGAGTGAAAACTCTTTCACAGAACAAGTACTATTGTGAACTTTTTCTTCCTTTCTTTTCGGAGTCAAATACAGTCTCGAAGCCTACACTTGTCTGGGCAATGAATCTCAATACGCGCTTGATGCACTTTGGGTGACTATTATGGACTTGACTGCTACCCTGTCATGGATTCAGATCGCTGGATATGAATCATGTGTAAATGGTAGGCTTGCCTCCAGGTGATGGTCGAGCCTCAGACGCGATGTAAGTGCATTTCCACATGTCTCCGACACTACCGTGCGCTATGGGATTGTCCTTAGACAAGAATGCCGTGAAATTAGGTACGCTGCATTAGAAATCGGCATCAGCAAGTGATTATCACAGAATACTATCATGAACTTGCTGGTTGTCGGGGTCTGGATCACAACCACCAGTGGGAGTTATAGATGGGCGGCTTCTTCCCCACGGTAACTTTCTCCTGACCTTCTCTAACCAAGACTTGCAGTGGGACAAGAAGGGTAGAGCCATTTAGGTGATAGGCTCGTGCTTCATGCCTTTTAAACGAGGGCAGGCCTGTACTGGCAGATGGCACACAGGAAATAATATGGTCCTTGCATTCTGCCATGGTTCAATATTAATTGGCATTATCCATTCCAAACCGACGGATGTCGGTCTACTATATAGAGTCCAATGGTTGGCTTCCGGATCAGTCGTGTTAGCTGTGATGGTCCTTTGTTCTCTTCCATGGAAATCCGCAACCTTTAAAGATGAAGGAAGATAGTTGTTCCTTCTGATGGGCCGTCAATCAGTGCAATCACACCACTTAGATTCTGATGCTGCCAAATCAAGTGACGCCTTAGGTCCTTACCGCTGCCTGCCACAAAAGTTACCTGCCGCTTGAATTATCAAATGCAATAGGAGCAATCGACGGCAGGCAATGAAACATCAACGGGATCGGAGTCATCATCCCTGGTAAGCAAATAAAATTTATGGAGCCATCAACGGCGGGCAGCAACAGCAACAGGATCAGAATCATTAAGTATCCCTGGTAAGCAACAATGCCTTTAATGCAATCACCGTTCCTGCTAGTCATGGTATGTATCTATGTAACTTACTTCCATCTTTCTCACGTGCCACCCAACTGTTTACATTCCCATTGGCCCATCTGCCGGTCAATGGCATCTGAACACGAAGGGGGTGTTCTTGGGAAAGGTTCCGCTCGAGCTCACCACCAACCCATCTGCGTTGATGTACCAGCCTCAGCCACCTTTGCTTCTGACTATTCTCCAGGTTCCAGTGCCAGCACTAAGGGCAGCAAGAACAGGTACGGAAAGCTCATAACCCGAAGCCGCGATCACACCACCTGCGAACACAGAGTGGACATGTAGTATTACAATGGGGCGTGCATGATAATCTAGGAGTGCAAAGTGATCGTCGCCTGCTGTGCACTGCGGCAGGGCCTCAAACTCCAGCCCTGCCCCAGTCTAAATCGGGGCTAGTCAAAATAAGCGTGAGTACCTCGACATTCACAGCCTTGCTCTTTACTTGTTTCTTGCAACCACTTGGATTGTCTTCTCTGGGCGTTCCACCCCATCGTGCACGGCGAATGCTTGAGTCAACCTGTCTGGCCCTTTGAATTGTAACGTGTACCTCGAACAAAAGGTAAATTCAATTCCCGTCTCAGCATTTCAATTTAAGTTCATAGATCTATGCCCCTTCATTTATTCTTTGATCCATCCAAGTGCTGGTTTGCTTGTCAGATAATGCCAAATAAGTATTCCCATGTGAAAGCGGTCATACAGATTGTAGTCAATGAGGCTCTACATTATGTAAATACCATTATGACTCATCTGTTTACTGGTTCACTTCGGATGGCTGGCCAATTTGTAGTGGTCGGCTGTTAGCCACGCTAATTCTTTTGCTATCTTCCATGGAAATCCGCGATATAGTCAATCACTATCTAACTTCACTCCTTGCTGCTTGAATCATCTTCTCTGGGCACCTCACGGATGCTGTAAAATGCAGCAATTGTCCACAAGAGACTCATGACGAGGCACTGCAACACTTTATGAAGAAACCCGCGGGTGGAAAGGTGGCTTTGATGGCTGCAGTTATTTCTGGCGATGACGAGGGAAGCAATGCTTCTTCTTCGAGCCAATTGGTTGAGTTCAGCGTAACTGCCCCTGTTCGCAAACGGAGGAAGACGACTTTGCATTTGTTCCTCCGCTTGCAGCAGTCTCCGGTGACATCAGGTACAATCTCGAAGGACCAGAATCGATGTCACAGTAGTCACTTGATGACATTGATGCTGAGTTTGCTCGACTGGAAGATATACAGGCATTCAATTGATTCGTCTCTTGCTAATAAATGAAATGACATAGGTTCACCACAACCACTGCGATGGTACGGCTGCTGGCCCGATAAGTGTAAGAATGCGGCAAATACGAGAAACCCAGTATATGCGATTTTTTCGGTTTTCGGGAACTTCAAAAAGCCCTAATCTCCCGTAGGCAGACCAAATAGAATGAAGATAGGCATCCCTTCTATATCATGGGTCGGAGCGTTGTACGGAGCTCTTCCGCTGCTGTCGATGAGTACAAGGGAGAACGTGAGGAGGTTCACATGTGCACTTTTGCACTTTTGCTTACACCTGTGAGATCTGCATGTGCCACTTCGTTAGAATGGACTTGTGCATCCACTGAGGACAGATAGCTGGTACCAAAGACGTAAGTAGTCCCGCACACGGGAAGAAGTGTTATGGTGCAGCAGTGGTTTGCACGTGTGGAAGTCAACCATCAACCTCTGGAATTATTTTGATGTAACTGCATATTACAATTCCAACTTCAAACCCACCCAGGCTCCCCAAGGCAGACAGCTACTCTGAGGCTGCTGTGAAATACATGTTCGATGTGCTCTCAGGCACGCAGTTCGACCCTGTGGCAGTAGTCGTAGTTAACCACAACATCTGGCCGCCGCAGAACATGTCAACCGTGACATGACTATCGAGCTGGTGGTACAAGATCATCAATGTAAACCTCACCTCAAGTCTGCCGTGGGTACCTGCGCCGTTTTCAACCGAGGGCGTGGAAGACAAGGCTGCAAAATTGTGCTCATCGGGAGCACGGCGGGCAGTCACTATCAGCAAGAGTAGTAAGTTTTTTTCGGATTTGTCGTGAAATCGGCTATGGGCTGAGTGCTGAGTGAGAGCGACATTGTGAATATCACGCTGAGGGAATGCTGTACATAGCGAAGTAGACTCGGAGCTGAATCAGCTGATCCCCACAAATTGACGCTCGTTAATTTTTCACTGCACATCTGGCTGCCGAAGATTAGCCGAAGACGCAAATGCACTAAATATAGAGTACCAGTACACTCTTTGTTACCATGTAACTCACTAGCGGTCCGTAGCACTCTAATCCTGCATCCTTTCCTCGGCCGTGCCCCTTGGAGCTGAGTACTGAGGTAGCCAAAGTTATGAAAGCATGCTCTCCTTTCAGCGTGATATGACCGCACGAGAACAACCCCATCGAATCTTATTCGCATTGGTGCGCATCACCTTCCCTCTTCTTTTCGAGATCTCCATATCTGTCCTTAGGGCTTTCCCTGTCCAACGGCTGGTCACGCTTCCCTAGAAGTAGACGTGAATAAAGTCGAGGATGAACTTGCAACCACCATTACTGAACTCAGCGCGGTTCCGATGACTTGTGCCTGGCGTGTGGGCCTTGTGGCAGGGCGTTGAGATTGTCAATGTGTTCAGGTGGCCTCGTAGTAAGAGAACATTGGCACTCCTAGAGAGTATCTCTTGCCCTATAGAATGGCTACGAAAGATTTATACAATTGAAGCGATGGAATCAGGGTGCGTTTGAAAACAAAATCTAAGAACATTTACATTTAGCCCGACAGATATGGTCCTTCTTCATATACGAGCGCGTAAATCCCTTTCCACAGTCAGCGCAAACAGCCTTAACTTTCCGCCGATGTATCTCGTTTACGTGGCAAGTGCGGTTCTCCTTTTTGACAAGTCTTGAGCATCCGGGTGCACATTGCTTTGTCTTGGCTGCCCTGCGCTTTGGGATGGAGCGGTTCTGAGGAGTCAAGCAAGGTCTGCCCCCAGGGTACTTGCTATGCTGAGGCGGGAAGGGTTGTGCACGCCGATGAAACCAGAGGGCAACACGTCTGTTTGAAAACGGTAAGCGCTTAGAAGAAAGGCAGCGAATATAGAACTTACCTTGTGAAAGTTGACCGACAGCAGGATCTGTTCCCTTTGACTGCGATCTCATAGCTCCTAAAGGACTGTACTCTTGGTCCGAAAGCTAAGAGGAAGAGGTCGAGCAGAGTTGATAACAGTGAAATACCAATGAGCTGGTTGAACGTGACCATCTGAGGCTCATCATCAAAAATTGTTTGCATGTCAGCACTGCTATGACATGTGCCCTGATCCCCCACGGTGACTCCTAACTGGCAGCTGACAACTGCAATGCGGGCACGGAGCCACAGCATTTCGTTGCAAACACAGTCTATTCTATCATGGAGTCGGTCAAGGGACTCAAGACATGACTGTAGGGTTGATCCCATTGAATCTTGATCAGGAGCCTGCCCCAACCGCGAAAACGACATCGAGGGTGGATGCGTCGATTCATGGTAAGTTTTCATCTCCGAGTTCGTGAAGCGTAAAGTAAGCTTACTTTTCAAATAGGTGTTCATTCTGAATGCTTAATCTGACTTTTCGCAGATTCTGGGGAATTAGTGCGAATACGAGAGAATGTTCACTAGCCTTCGCGAGATTCCTGCCTTTATATTCACGTTCGAGGCCCTTGGCCGTTCACTGCAGACTGAATCCCGAATCACAGTTTATGCCCATGGCAGGTCTGGCAGGTCAGTGTAACTTTGGCAGTACAATCTCCAAATCATTGAGTGGTTTTCTGTTTCCTCAGCTTGAGCAGAATGCCCATGCTACACGAGGGTACTGGCAGATGCGACATGTGGGAAACAATAAGTGCCCTCGATTTCACGCTGATATTAATTGGCAATGCCCGTTCCAACTCAATGGAAGTTGGTCTGCTAGCCTGTGCTAGGGCGATGTTGCTTTAGCCACACTGGTACTTTCATCCTCTTCTAGGGCAATCCACGATATAGAGTCATTAATCGCCGTCTGACTTTGCTCAATGGCAGCGAATTCCGATATCCCCGATCAGTGCAATCATGCTTGACTCCACTGGTAACTTACCAGTCTACCAGACCCATTGGTTCACCTTACGGCAAGGCTACCCGCTATACCAGATTCCTTGCCACGGGAATGATCTCTGCCTGGGCGTTCTACCCCGTCGTGCACAACCAATTATTTGACCTGCCTGGTTTGTAACATGTTCCTTGAACAAAATACGTTCAATTCCCGTTAGGGATTCTCACTACATAGGACTGCCCTTATCGTGCCCGCTATGATCGCAGTATTTTACCGGATTCTATCTCCGTTCACCGCCACGTCATGGCAGGGAACACAAAGGCACTCAAATTATCATTATTTTTGTGCCCTGGCTTGACACATGCACGTTGGCGGAACAGAAGGCGCCTGCATGAATCGTCATTTTATTCATTAGCAGCAGATGAGTTGAACGCCCGTACGGCCATGGTTCTGGATATGTGACTAACACAACCAGGGAGGGGCCAGCGGGACAGATCGACTCACCATGGTCACACCAGTAATACTTACAGTATCACTACCAGCGATATCCTTCGATTCAGTTGTCAAGTTGTGATGATACATATGGAATCACCACCACCATGACTTTTTTGCTCTGTCTTGTTCATCAGTACATCGCCTGCCTTGAAATTTGAACGTGCCCGACAACTAAATGCACGTAACTCGAGTATTCTTTCTGCCTCAGAGGCATTTTGCCGTCACAGAAGGTTTATGGTTACTGGAACGTGCCTGCTGGCATCCGCGACTGTCATGAGCGTGACATGCATGTGTAGCCAGCCAAAAGCTGAACCACAATAGTCAGTTCCTCCATCACAATCTCAAGTGATATAGCCTGACTTGCAGCCATTTCCCGCCACCAGAACATATGTGTGCTTTCACACAAGCAGGGTCATAGATAAAGCGATGACCACCTGGCCTTTGGTCGCCTTTGTGTTCGGCATTTCACTTACAAATGACACCTCTGTAGGATCTATGAGTCAACCAACCCCTACGCCCAGATAAGCAATACTTCTGAGGATTTCATCAAGACTCGGCATCCACCATTGAGCAGGTCAGACGCTCGGCGCAATAGCAAATACCCTTCATCCACTGTCCCTTCGCAAACGTCTATCAGACACACCATCAATTAAGCGGCATGGTGTGGGAAACGGTGCTTGCATTACGAGGATTCAGCGCTTATGCCCATGGCCAGGATCCAGTGTTATGTACTAATTAAGCTTTGTCTAGGCGCCCCAGGCTCCAGCCACAATCTACACCTTCTCCAGATAGCTCGGTCCAGCTCTCGGCTCTCATTTCGCCTCTCCTTTTCTCTATTACTCTGTAGCACAACGTCATAACTTTATCCTAACATGGCCAATCGCGTAGAAGACGCCCCTTGTGGAACACCCTAGAACACCTCTGCCCATCACCGGCAAGTGCACTCGTACTAATCGCGGTCGATACGCAAGATCTCACGGTGATACAGGAACACGATGAGAACATTCCGGAAGCTCGTTATGATGAATCGATAGATAAAGATTCAGATGAAGAAAAAATTCCCCCAGAAGATGTTGAAGACGAGCCCTTTCAGGTTTCTAGGTACTTGTTTAAATTCCGGTGCTGCAGTGTACCTTGCATTATCTATCGCATGGAGCTTCGATCACTAAGGCAAATCTCATGACCTTGACCACGCCATCTTTTTGTACGAAGAAGCGCTGTGCCTGTTCCCTGTTGGGCACGAATCTCGTGATGCATCTCGCACCTGGGCAACCTAGTAGGCTCGTGAACGTCAAGCTCTTATATAACGTACTTATGTAGTCCAGACTGGTTACGAATCTAGCGCATCACCTCGTCGCCCCTGCAGAGACCAGCGAAGCACTGGAGGGTGCTTCTGTTGAAATACAGTTCATTATTCATCACCGGCGCATCAAAGATCACGACAACTTCCGAGCTGGAAACAGTTCAAAATCCTCAAACATTCCTCTACCTGAATGAACAGTCATCAGCAATCACCGAACTCGAATCAGACAAGGAACATGCGCCGAAAAAGAAGCTACGAGAATTCTCAACACCCGCGCTAAATACCACGAGCCTCAAGGATATAAGAAAGTCTCAGTCTTGGCCTTCTCTCCCTAGCGGTGCACCCGGTTCTTGCAAAACAAGTCATAGTACTACAGGCTATGATACAAAACGGCAAGGAGCTTGGCATGCTGTCCTTTCTAACAGTTCGGAAAGATGTCTTCGGTGCCTAGCGGAGAATCACTCAGCACCTCGGGTAATTTACCTTCATCTCAGTTGGTGACGTATACATAGGGTAAAACAAGAACGTGACAGCCAAGATCATGTACAGACCCGCACAAACCTCAGCATGAACGCCGCCGAAAATGCGATCGGGACTTACACATGAGAATAATGCCCTGCAACCAATTCGACTTACCGTCCTGTACGACATGGTTCACGCCGAGGACCGGTTGTATTTCTTTAATCATCATGCCACCCCGTGGAAATAATGACGCACCAGAGAGGAACAGCACGACCGACTCAAACGGGTCGAAGAGGAGCGTCGGTGGTTTGCCAATAATCCAACCGAGCATGATGAACCTGCAAAAATACGGATGATGAAAAACTAGTGGCGAGAGACACGACCATGAAACGTACGGGATAACGAAGAGTGCAATTTGCTTGAGAACAGTCAGCTATCACAGAAAGACATCCAGGTAAACAGACATACGATACTTGATCCAACAGCAACACCTAAGCTCAGGCTTGACGGACACTGTAACTTCAGTAATGTGTTCCGTTGCATTACCAACTACGGGAAGCAATATCACGCCGACAAACTCTTTGCCGATAGCCCCAGATTCAGTCAAACCGGTGATGAATTCTACGAGGAACCAGTAACAGCTACCAACTAGAGCAAGAATATTTTCAAAGATTGTTGTCAGTATGAGTATTGGCACGTACCGCAGTTACAACGACCAGAATCCTGAGGGACACAGCGACGCTCGTATACGGTTCTATTTCAGAGTCTGTGTCCTCTGCGGATGGAGCCCCATGTTCTAAGTCGGTACCTTCAGCAGGTCCGAAGGGATTGATTGCAGCCTCTCTACCTGTCGGATCAGGGGATGGTACAGGTCTACCATTCCTACAACGATAAGGCCTCGACCGTAAGCCACGGATGATGTTCCTCACAGCTCTTGGATTCGCATTGTTGTCATCATACAGGGCTGTGTGTGTGAACAGTTGGAAACCCAGATACGGGCCGTCAACTAAAACAAAGGTGATTGGGTGACTAGCAGGTGTGCTTTGGTTGACCTACTAAAGAGTAAAATGATGACTACCTGGATGACAGTGTGAGGATAATTTTACACATGTAAGACATATCGGACACGTACCCCATGGCTGGTCTTTAGTATGATGCAATCCATCGACAGATCGCTATATGACGGCTGGCCCTGTAATGCTACGTGGAAAGTGCCAGACAGCAAACAAAAATGACACCGACGGTGAGCAGCGACGAACTCAATCGCACCGTACCTTCCACAGAAGTAAGAATCAAGGTTTAATTTGGGAAAGTATACATGCTTTATCTGAAACCTTGTTCCGAAAAACGCATGCCGCCAGCGAAGAAGCACATGCCCAGCACCAGGACTGGGGGGAGGGTCCAACTAACTTCAAAATGTAATACGAGAATGCCTACAAAGATAACTTATATCACACCACTATGTGTGGCTATGAGCTTAGGGTCGCAAGGAAGATAACAGATGTCATAGGACATACAGGATGACTGAACAATTGTGAATTCACATTTCCCGAGGGCGATAATCTGGAGTGTAACCTTCAGCGTGTGAATTTGCAAATACTACATAGAACGCATGTGCACAGAGACGATCAGTTCGACGCCATGAAAAAGGACGAATGGTTAGATTATGATTGACAGATTTTTTTTTTGACTGACACATTTCCCTAGAATTTCGCAGTCGTCAGATTGAAGCGATGAAATAATGGGTTGATTAACGTCACTCATTGGCTTCGAAGGAGTGCCCCCCATACACGATGAAAGGATGATCGCATAAATGCTTTTCCAGGTATCCGGGGCTCTGGCTACTGGTCTCTCCGGGGTCAGCCATGATCATGATATGTAGTTGAGCAGGTGGAACAGCGGGTGACTGAACAGCGACTCCAACGAGTGCGCCTGCAGGCGTCTGGCGCATTCGACTCGATCAATACTTCCAAATCGACAGATTGATTGGTCCAAGTGAAGTCGTGTGAAATCAGCGAGTTCCTTGCTTTCCGCTTGAATTGTCTTCTCGCCATGGGCGTTTCACCAATTGAGGTTCCACCCCATCCGGTGTGTGCCTTGAAAAAAATGTATATTCAATTCCCGTTGCGATCCTCGCTAGGACTGCCCTTATCATGCGCGCCATAATCGCGTTATTTGCACGGCGCCGGGGATTACAAGGGCACTCACTCGAGTTATAATTTGGATTTGTGGACACACACACGTTGACTCAACAGAAGAAGGCTACACCACACTCGGGGCCCGTGTCAAGCCTGATCGTCCAGAGATCTCCACCAACGAAGATTATCACTTTATCATCGAGTAATGTTGGACAGGGCGACGGATCCCATTGCTGATATCTATGTATGTGGAGTTGATATATCGCTACAGATAAATATGCTAAAGCTTATGTGTTGACTGTTTTTAACCTTGGTAATCGACTTCTTGGGAGTTTATAATTACTTACAGAGTCAGAGTTCGTCGGTTCAGAACCCAACTCATAATTCGAGTGTCGCATTCCCAGGTTTGCGACTGCCGCCTAGTTAGAACTTCCACTACTAGCTAGTATCACTTCTATCCGGTTAATCAATGTTCCGTCACGTTCGTCCAGTTTTCTCCAAAGTCAGACTTTGCGACCACCTAACTCCCCACGTACGTGCATCTAGTTTGAGTACAGATGGACTATGTTAAGATCGTTCGATCATTTTCTTGTTTCCGCAGTGAACGATATTGTGGCTGCATGTTGGTTTTCCGTGATTATCATTTCAATGGTCTGGTTCCTCGCCGAACACATGCATTAATCATTATATAGGTTCAAATCATGGCTTGCTCTCTTATACAACCATGCCAAAAAGCCAGCATGCGGTGAGGTTTCTAATGAAGGTGTGTGTTGGGCTGTGTTTCGATACAATAATTTCATGGTGTCCCCAAATGAACACTCACACCAGGTACGACATGCGTTCTGCTCGCCCGACGGCGTCTTCCTTCCAGCGACCGTGTATAAAGGCTGCGGGCACGGTCCCTAACCATCGACTAGACCTACTACACTAGCACCCTAGTTCCCCTGCAACTACTTGTTAGCATACGCATTGCAAACAATTTGCTTGTAATCACCCTCCTGCTCATACACAGGCCGAGTACTATTGGTTACACCATGCGTCTGTCCTCGCGACGCGTTGGGACTGCCCCAGATATGCATTTCGCCGACCCTATGACATCAAGCCCCAAGTTCGTATACTCCATCTCTTCCTTGCATGTATCTAACATCATGAGTAGTGCCGTCTCGTTGATACCGGACAATCCATCGACCGTCTTCCCGCATAATCCACTAACCCTCGACGATCTAGGAGGCTTCGGAAGATCTGGTTCTATGATAATGGGAAACAGCTCCTCATTTCCATACGCATTGCAAATGTATCCCTTTCATCATAATTATTTGCTCGTCATTCACTCATACTCTTACACAGGTCGAATCCGATTGGTCACACTTTGCTTGCTTCCTCACAACACGTTGGGATCGCCCCAGATATGCATTTCACCGACACTATGATACCAAACCCCGAGTTAGTATGCTCCTTCTCTTCATTGCATGCATCTAACACCGTGATTAGTGCTGTCTCGTGGATGCCCCTCTCCCCGTATATTCCACCAACCCTCGACAATCTAGGAGGCTTCGGGACATCTGGTTCTCTGGCAATGGGAAGCAACCACTCATATTCATACGCATTGGAAACGTGTGCCCTTCGTCTTAATGTATTTGCTCATCATCACCCTCATACTCATACCAGGTTGAATCCGAATGGCCACACTTCGCTTGTGCCATCGCGACACTTTGGGACTGCCCCTGAAATGCCTTTCGCCGACCCTATGATATCAAGCCCCAAGTTAGTATGTTCCTTCTCTTTCTTGAATGCGTCTAACATTGTAAGTAGTGCTGTCTCGTGGACGTCAGACAGTCCATCGACCGTCTTATATTATCATGATGGCTCCCTGTGTAATCCACCAACCCTGGATGGTCTAGGAGGCTTCGAGAGATCTGGTTCGCCGGCAATGGGAAGCAACTACTCATCTTCATACACATCGCAAACGTATGCCCTTGGTCACCATTTTTTTTGCTCGTAATGACCCTCGTGTACAGACAGAATCTGAATGACCACACTTCAGATGCCCTGGTTTCCCCGCAATACACCATAGCCAACTCAGATAACCCTGAACCTGATATGCTCACATATGATCCCTCATCGTATAACGGCTTCCATCAGTGGCCGAATTTTTTCACTGCTCAGCTCCCGAGCCAGTCACAGCCACCAGCTAGCCAGACACCTTCGATCCTCGTTCAAAAACATACCTCATATCCCTTCTTCGTCTGCTATTGGTTGCGTGGCGATACCCGCTGCGGATATGAAGGAACAGTGGAGCAATTAAGGCAGCATTGTCAACGTAGCCATCTCCGTGAGTGCCGAGATGCGTGTATTCAATGCCGCTGGGAAGGTTGTGAATATCACACTCGCGGTGACCCCTCAATTCATGTCATGCGGCGCGACTGCATGTGGCGTCATATCAATGAGGTCCATTTGAATCATCGGAGAACTACCTAGGCATCGTGTTACATCCATCACCGCTAGCCTCGCCAGCCGCCAACTGTATTTATTTTATGATGATTACCTGATGTATTTTATTGTGATTTATTTTATTATGATTACTTATTTCATGTGTCACAACGCTGTTTGACACCACGATCTCTCGTGCAAGACAAGGAACGCACAACGAAGGTCCGTAGGTATGTACGATCACGCACACGCATGCGTGACAAGCAAGGTTTTTGGCGACACAATTGGCGCTTCCCGAGTTAATTTATTGCGTGATTAATGTATTTTTCGTATCACCCGCAAATCGTCCATAAGTTCGTATGAACTGTGCTAGATCTGGCTTGGCAACCAGATTCAAATCAAATCTCGTGCATGTCTGTGTGGCGCAGGTCATACGCATGCGTCTCTAGAAGCGCCAATATTCTCGAATCTCTACAGGATGTCCTCGACAGGTCCGCCGTTCATAGTAGTGCCAACTGTTTTACCTGCACTTGCAGACAGTTGCAGACCCTGTAGGTGTCAGTACTGCCACAATTGCCCAGCTGGTCTCTGTGGTCATCTCTCCGTCCGTTGACCAGTCTGTCCAAACACCCTTGTCAATCCACGTATGTCGACACAACCTACCTGTTGTCCCAGTCACTGTCTCCTTCACAGGTTGTCGTCAAAATAGCCACCACAATCATAGTCGCCGATATAGTGACAACCACGGTTGCAATCACTCCGACGTCAACGACTACAGTCGTCGAGACAGCGACTGCAACAACCACTGTGACCACCACTAGCATGCCGTGGGCCGATCGTACAGCATGGGCAGCTCCTCCAGAAATGACAGATTTATCTGCGTTCAACGTCACTTGCTTCCCCAGCGGGAAGTAAAACGTCGCTATCATCAACGGCTTCTCTGCGCTTGCCAGTGTCCCAGGAGGATCTGCATATGAACAAGATATAAATGAGTCACACGACATCACGAACGTTACGGGCTTTACCGCAGCCCTACAGCTTCTTTACCCAGCAGACTCTGTCAATCCTTCCAGCAAATCTCCAGGTGGGGCCGAGTTTTAAGCGACGCCATTGAACCTGAGCAATGCCAAGAATGTCACAATGTAATATAGCGTCTTCTTTCCCTTGGATTTCGACTGAGTGAAAGGCGGAAAACTGCCTGGCTTATATGGTGGCCATACAGGTTGTTCTGGGGGTGCTGCCGCCGAAGACTGCCTTAGCACACGACTCATGTGGAGGCCGGGTGGTGCCGGGGAACCATATCTCGACTGTCGATCCACTCGCATTGTTATGAAAAGGGCTGACCTGGTTCACAGTACGCTCCGAAAGAAAAGTAAACAAAGGCCTTGTATTCCAATCCCCAGTCAGTCTGCGATTACGAGTATGGGCTCTCAATAGGCAGGGGGTCGTTCCACTATAGCAGAGGCAATTGGACGAACTTGCGCCAGGACATCGTGCTCAACACACCTGGGAAGCAGGATGGGGCGTTCACTTTGTTCATGGACGGGAAGCAGGCGACAAACCGGACGGACATATTTTATCGTGACGCACCTCAGCAGAAAAAGAAGCCGAAACCAAAGATCACATGCAAATCTTCCACGTCGCCAACTCCACAGCAAACACAAGGTGGTCTGCCGGGAATTCTGGCTGCAGGAACGGCTACAGCACAAGAAACAGTGCAGTCAATCCTCGTCACTGACAGGATCTCTGTCCTGAGTAATATTACCAGCGATTCCAGCAATCAGCAAGCAGTCGGCTTCGTCAGACGTTTCTTCAGCACTTTCTTCGGCGGGCACGGAGACGGCTGGGCGACTCCCAAACAACAGTATGCGTGGTTCAAAGACTTCGCCATGACGCACAACTCCTGATAGGATCTTGACCTATCTAAACTTCCAAAAGAAATCCTGTCCATTCGTAATCAAAGAGCTACCCCGAAAACGATCCATACCGAAAAGGCCACCAATACTTGAGCCCACACCGATGAGACGGTAGAACCATCCGGTCCCCTGATCTGCTGGCTGGTCAACAATACTCTCTGTGGGGCCACCGCTGTCGCAGGCAAATATTGGTAGACTACATATCATCCCCTCCACTGGTCCAATTCCGAAGTGTTCGTTTGCTGGGGTATATAATAGAGCGACTGTAGATTGAGCCTGGAGTAGGCCTGAATGCTGAGGAGTGGTAAAGTTTAAGAGGAATAATATACCTTCCTAAATCAGGGTGAATAAACGCGATGCGACTTTGAGCTTTTCTCCATCTTCAAATTCGACGAGCAGCTCGTGTATGCGTTGCGTCAAGTGACGAGCTCGTGCTAACTTGAAGAGTCACGTGCGGGTAACATCAACGTGACCCATAGTGACTGAGTGTCACGCTCCCCTTGACCCTCTGCGAGAACTTGTACTGGCACTCGAATAAAATAGAGGGTCAGTGACACTCTGACTCTCCTGTGCGTTTCCATGTGCTAATATAGAGTGATTATGAAGTCAAATCAACTCACGATGATCCCAAACTCTGTTTCTGCACTCAAGTCAAGACGTCGCGCAAGCATTGCGACACTTCCTCCAGAACTTTGGGAGATCATTTTTGATCATGCCACCTATGTCCCCAGCATTTTCATCCCCGAGATTTACGAACATTCGGGCTCTCTTGGATCCCATTTCAATCGTGACCACCATCCTCTCATCAGACAGGCCTTAGTGACCAAGCGTTACCTCGTTCGCGTCTGCAAAAAATGGTGGCACCTGGCCACGCCGTTTCTTTACAGATCTATCTTCATCGGTCGAGGTCGATGTCTATTATCGCTCGCCAGCGCACTTGCATTATCGGCTTGCGGAAAAGGCGTGCTTCTGGGTGAACGGTCTCTGGGCTCTTATACCGAGAGGCTAGATATCGCGATGCGCGACAAGAGTCAGGCTCATGGGGACGCAGATCTTGACTTGCTCGCAGAAGTCATCTTGTGTCTCCCAAATCTCGCCATTGTATCAGTTGCTGTCACTCCATCTCAGTATCGCTCTTTGTCCATGCCTGACACTGTAATGGATGCTCTTACTGATGTCGCCCCTAGTCTCAAAATTATCGACTGGGCCTCACACTGCTTGCTGCCGTCATTCCACAGTTTGCAGGACTTAGTCATTACAACACAGCAGCTGCATATTCTACACTGTCCTTATTTTGTGGTTGGCCAGACAGATGCGATGGCTAACTGCATCCTCTCCTCGTGCACGACGTTGACTGTTCCAGCAAATGACATATTTTCTCATATGTCTTCAACTCAGTTACCTGCACTTCGGGAACTAGTCTTCCGCTCTTTTTCCGTGGAGTCCGACCCCCTTTTCATTCCATCTCTGGAGAGGCACGGGGGCAAGCTGCGTTCAGTCCATTTGCATTGGGCTGGATATCTCAGCCAGATAAACCCACTACTCGCAATGCATTGCCCACATCTTCGCCGCCTTACGATCACCTTAGATTCTTGGGAGTCGTTCGATATAGAGTCAATCAAACCGCTTCCTGTCGAGTACCTGGGTCTACGCTATCTTCAAGGCCAATTATCCAAAAGAAATTACACATTCGTGTTTTCCGTTCTCGCTCATCTTAAGGACGCAATGCCGACACTGCGCACCATTCGATTCACAGGCTCTTCGAATGTAAACGACTTGTTGAAGAATCATCACAAAACCCTCATTCGCGCCTTGGAGTTATTTGATGGGAGCAAGCTCCGCCTGGAAGATCACGAGGGACGACTTTTGTCAGGTAGAGTTGGATTACGGATCCAAGGTGACATTCTAACTCATTCTGCCTTTTCAACAGATCGAGTTGTGCCGTTGGATGCAACCTCGTGAAATGATACCCGGGCTATAAAGTCGTTCCCTTTCGTACCACACTAGTTGCGCGGCGACAGGCTTGTCGCTCATTTCGGCATTATCCTGTGTTGGTTGTACTACATGACCTCTGGGTAATGACGGCGGTCCTCTAGTGCCAGCACTTGGCCACCAGTCATTGCCAAGGTATGCGAATTACTCTATCGATGGTAAGTTGCCCAGATCCTGCTCATTGTCAATGCCGTATTACCATACGTAGGGCAAAGATCGCTACCTCTGATATGAAGTTGTTACCTGTACTTGACTCGATCGTGATGCATAGCTTTATTTTCATTATCGTAGGCTTCCACATGCACTTCTGCTTTTCGTTAGTCATTCTGTGTTTAGTATATACGCTAGAGCATCTCGGAACAGAACCGTCAACAGTCAAACATTATTGTTTGGGTGTGGCTTGCCGACACTCAGAACGTGACGATGTCTCATTGCGTGAATGGGCAAATCCTAAATGTGCTCCATTAGTTTTCATGCGACCAAAACAGTTCCAGATACTGTCGGGCGTTTAGACCTTACCGTGAATTAATTGGAATGTCGGTGCCCACCCAGGTAATCTTATTCATTCGGTTGCCGTTCGACCAAAGATTTTTCTGCTCATAACAATGTGCGGTTCGGCGTAACCACAGGGTCCACAGGGACTTCTGTACCCATATTTGGAAGGTGTGACGTGACCTCATCCGCGTGATTCCGACGCGTCACTTATGAAGACGCGCCTGGTTCCATCGTTCACCTCAGGCGAACTGATCACAACTACATATGCATATGCTGAACAGCAAACATGGCAGGCACAGGAAGAAGGTATGTGCTTTGCTTTGCACAATCAAAGTACTGACTTATATATTCTCCTAGAGTTCGTACGGACTTTACCACAGACGAGGACATCCTCCTCGTGAAGTTCATTGCGACATATAATCCCACTAAGCAAAACAGAAGCGGAAACACGTTGTACAAGCGCCTTGTTGAAAATGCGAGTTTCTCTCATGTTTTCTATCGTGAAACAAGTCCTAATGCTGCTATAGGTCGACGGGAAATGGAACTGGTCCAAGACACACCCGTGGCCGTCCTGGCGTGACAGATATGTGAAAAATGCGGACGAGTTTGACAGGAAGATAGCGAGGTATCAAAAGAAGAAAGGAATAAACTCGGAGAAACAGCCCTCGAGGGAGCCTGTGTTTTCGCCCTCTGACGAAGAAGAGGAAGACCGCGAGGGTCCACTCGAAAGAGACCTAGCAAAGGGAAAAAGCGCGCTGGCGTACAAGTCAGTTCTGAGCAGCGGAAAGCAAAGCGAGCGAAACTGGACAGAGACCAGCCAGATAGTGAGAAGACCGAAGAGACAAGCCAAGTTCCTGTAGCTGGAACAAGTGACCAGGCTCGCAGTCCTGTTCAGGGACCGTCGGAAACTGTGTCTGACGTGCTTCCACCTCCGAAATTCGCAAGCACTCTCAATATCCCCCTGCTCCCTTCTCGCGGTGATACTCTGCCCTGTCCTATCATCCCAACCCAATTCTCCTGCCAGGACCCCAGCCACCAATCTCGTCCCAGCTCCCCACCGAGTCCCAGCCTCCCGCATCATCTTCACAACAGGTAGCCACGCCAAAGCCGGCCATCAGGGCCCAAACGAGTCTGAAGCACAAGTCCGTTTCCCCCGTTTTTCCGCTCGTTATCACCGAAACCCAATCATTCTACTACTCGTTGAAGAAGAAAATTCTCCCCACAAGTGGTAGAAGGGCACTTTACGACGCGCTGACCGATCGGCTGGGCCATGTGCGACCAGGTGGTCGTTCTGAAGGTGAGGAGGTTTGGCCTCCTGTTTCGAGGGAAGAAGGGCAAGGGAGAGAGGCAGCCCCTGGACCGACTGCGTTGATTCCTTCAGCCGCCTCGGGAACAGGAACGTCATCCCATAAATGGAGTCGTGTCCGGACACTACAACCGGCTGTAGTGCCAAAGCGCGAGTCAGAAGATCAGCACCCCTCTGCTCTTCTTGTACAACATCGTCCAGAGCGTGAACATCACCCCTTCCGCCAGGTTCCACTCCTCTTCCTTCTCCACGTAATCGCAGTGGTGCAGATGCAGCAGAGTCTCCTCTGAAGCATCGCTCGACGAATGGAGAGGGCCAGCTCGTTGGAAGTTCGCGGGACAGACAACGAGACAATGTTACAGGTCCTTCAACGTCTGGCCTCCCTCCAGCCACCTACGGTTCAACCTGCGGCTGGGCCTTCCAGACTCACGACTGCTGCCGTGCCTTCGGGTCTCACGTCCTCTGCCGAACTGCCGCATGGTCAGCCAGTCGCAGTGCCTTCTGCTCCACCAAGGAGCGATGAAAATACACGCTTGCTAAATGCACCGTCATTAGCTCAAATTCCAACTGGATCTGCTTC